CACTTTAACCAGAGAAATTATCAAATTTTATCCAATAACCCGCAATTTTTTTAGCCCTCTGCCTAAATCAATAAGTACCCCCATTAATCTGTATAGGTGGGACTGGGGAGAGATATTTGTACGCACTTGTTTGTGATGAAGGGCGTTGCGGAGACCGGGGGTCCCCGCGTGAGCTGATGTTGTACGACCGCTGTGCGAAAAATTCAAATCAGCATGCAGCCGTAATTAGACCCGACGTGGGCATAGCAGGGCAACCCCCGTGTGGGGTAGACCACATTGTATGCATGTGATATCATTCCCTTTTTTTGGATAGGTGTATGACTTTCTTTCATCTCTTCTTCTCTTTAACTGCATCTTTTGTAAACACGGTAAAGGTCACTATTTCAAGGAAATATATAGTTTATGGAGAGAGGGCAAAACAGGAATGGACCTATATCTAGAAGAGAGAGAGAGAGAAAGACAGAAGATGAGGAGGAGGATAAACTTTTCAGGAGAGAGTTGCGCCCCTCGTATAGGTCATCGATGTTTTGGTGGTTGTATGTGGTGAGACCGCATGTTGTGCGAAAATTAAAGAAAAACAATAATTTTATGATGGAAAATTGAGCCATACTAGAACGCAATTGAGGTTTGGGACATTGTAAAACTTTCCTTCAAAACACAGCCGTGAGCGTTTTGTCATCATGGACATTTTTTTATATCTTTCTCTAACGTCATCATGAGTAACATTTTTAGAGGTTTTGGCGATGATAGTAAGGGGTATGGGCAATATGGGAAGGGTATTATTGCCCCCACTATAGTATAGTGCTGACATTTGCGTTTATATTCTTTATCCTAACCTTGGTTTGTTCATGTGCAAGAGTGGACATTCACCCTTTAAGAGGCCATATTAAATATCACTTCCTTTTGGAGTGGAAAACCACTCTCCGATCACTCCGTTGGAGTGGAATACAGCTAAAGTTGGAGTGGATTCAATTCTAAAACGAGGTAATTCCCAATATGATCCTTAATGAGTCTTCAAAAAGTAGAAATCCACTAATCTGCTCAAAGAGAGGAACGTCGTCAATCGGGCGTCGGTCAAGTTTTACGATGACGACAAAGCCGTTGACAATGATGTCGGCGTTGAGCGTCTGCTATACGTTTTATGTGCTTGTCATCGTCATGAGCCGTGCGGTGAACGAAGCCGTGGTTGACAGATGGATGCATTGTGAAAGGTTTCCACTTTGGACCCGACCGACAACCCGTGTGAATGCGTAGTGTCTCATATCCCACGCACGGACCGGTCTCGCGATGATGAAAATAACAGTCGTGTTTCAATCCTGAAAACTCACCGACAATATAGAACGAGAGAGTAGAGAGAGAGAGAGGAGAGAGATGGAGAGGGAGAGTAAAATGAGATAGAAAGAGAGAAAGAGAGAGAGAGAGAGAGAGAGAGAGAAAGTGATACTTCATGAAACACTGAAAGTAAAGTTTGGTTGGAAGAAACGGGGTGCGTGAAAGGGAGAGGGAAGACAAAAAAATAGGCGAGAAAGACGCAGAAAAGACTGATCATGCTGACAGAGAGTCGGATAGAAGGAAAGATAGAGAGAGATATATAGAAAGAGAGCAAGAGAAAGCAGAGTGAGAAAGAGAGAGACCAGAGAGAGCCGAGAGATTGTATCGTCACCTTTTCAGAAAAGTGCAAATTTTAAGTAAAAAACCATCCGGCGTTTTGTGAACCCGACGGTAGACGTCGAAAATGAAAATTTCACACGTCGGCTTTTTCGCAAAACATAACCGACCTTCTTTCCAATATGTATTTCCCCTCATTATAAATTTAAATTATATTCCCAAATATAATTTGGACTTCAATACTCACCAATAATTATAGAACATTATTGTGCGTTACAATTTGTGTCCGCTTTATTATTCTACAATGTATACTCGATGAAACTGTTTAGATACTGGAACTCAATAATATTTATGAATCACCCCCTCCCCCTTTCCTTTAAAATACCCCCTTCTTGGAAAACTGTTGTCGGTTGATAATTTTCCCCATTTCCAAGTATTTTGTCAATAAGTCCTCTTCAAATGTTAAAGTCATAAATATGTTAATGCTATAGTGACTATGGATTGACAATGTTCTTAATTTCTACTTCCCCATTTTCTTCTAAATAGCTCTGTCTTCCTTTCCTATTACGCTTTGCTTAATACAGAACGAAACATCCTAAATTCCTACTGAAAGGGCGATTAAGCTCTAAAAATAGTAGGCATGTTTGGGAAAAGACTATGGGCGACTGGGATCACAAATAGCTATGATCGGAGGGAGTCATTAACACCTGGCCATTGTGACGTCATACTCACCTTTGTTACGTCATAGTGGATTAACTTCGGTTTTCCGGTGCTATAAATGTACATTGTAAACGATAATAAAAACAAAATGTTCTTAACATGTTTAACAAAGGAGCGAATTAGAGTATGTGTGTTCGAGCAGACACAAACTGACGAAAGATGCTCTTTGAAATCACGGCGATCCTCAATTTATGAAAATGTTCTAAAATTATTCGCACAGCCTTCCAAATTCCGAAAGACACCCCACGATGTTTGATTCGAAAATCACATCACTCATTTGCGATGATAAACGCCACAAGAAATGCGACGAAATGCACCATCAAGTTCCCCCTAAAAGCATTTAATGCGAGCAAATCGTCGCCCAATTTTACTTTAATCATGATAATGGTCGTTTAATACTGGCAGCACGCGTGCACTATCACCCCCAATGAAAACAGAGAGGGATAGCAAAAGAAAACGAAAATGCTCCATTAATTTACGCCAGACACAACAGCCTAATTCACGTAATTTCATTCAAAAAACAAGGTCAAATGTGATCACGTGACACAGTCAGTGATGCACGCCAGCTACACATCGAGTTGCCTTTTTTTTTTCTTTCTAAAAGTTTAATATGGTCATCAAAATGTATCGCAATTGTCCCGGCTTGTTACGCCGAGCGCAGGTTTGACGTGAGCGAGTTATTACAAGCCATACGTCAATATGTATTTAACATGACGTTATTTACGGAGTGCGGCTTGCATGTATGGAAACCACAGCGCTCCCACGGTTTTTTAAAACTATTTTAAACCATCCCCCAAAACTTGATGATAAAATGTTAAAACAGGAAAGCGGTGCTTTGTTATAGTCAGGCTTTAACTCATGGAAAAGACGAAAATCCTTCGTTTTTCTGTTCCTTTCATTTTCATTTCAAGGTCATTTTATTTTCTCTGGGGAGAGTTTAAAATCTTAAGGACAGACAGACTGATGTCTTAAACACAAACGGCCTTATACCTTTGGAGCAATCAATCGAGTAAACCGACGAGTTTTGTCTGTTTTTCCAATAATTCTCTCTTTGCCAACTTCTCTGTGCATGCCATGCTAGTAAAGACATCTGATATAGTACAGCACCTTACATTTTGTACACATTTTGTGATAGCAACTATTCCTTTAACCATTTTGGTCCACTATAATTAAAAGGATTGATTACCACTTTTGTTGTCTGAAGACTTTATTTTTGGAAGTTATCTTAAAGACATATTTTTACTGTTAAAAATCTATATCACGTTACATTGAAAACACGCTATCAATCCTAGGATTTGGGTGTTTGTTATCAAATTACACCAATAGCTGGCGCTAATACACTTTAATGGCCATGGGTCTAAGACAATAATCGTGTGTGTAATTGGCTTTCCCGACAGATTTTTTTTCTTTAATGGAATGTGTCATTTACAGTCTTCTTTCTACTAATATTTGCATTCGTTTTATGCCAATATTGTGCAATATCAGCGAGTTGTTATACTCGGTCAAATATTTGACAGGAAATGTACATGGCTCCATCGGCCTTCGATTTTGTATTACAAGGCTATTGCGAATCCACTACATGTACTACGCCGATTACGTAATGACAGAAAAGCGCGCGCCTTTTAATGTTACGAGCATGAAATTTACGAGACACACGTTGGGTGTATTTCTCCCGACACATTATGAGAGGTACTACCCGCCATTCTGTCTCCGATTACGTAATTGATAGGTTCCAAAAGGGAATATTAATAAAACATAATAATTCTTTTCCCAAACTCAAATCCCCCATCACACTTTTCTCTCTCTCTCTCTCTCTCTCTACATCTTTCTCTTGTTGCGCTTTCTCTCTCCCTCTTTTCTTTCATCAGGCCTTAAAAATGACCACAAAGACTGTGAATGCACGCACTCTGGTAAATTACTTATTTGCAAAGTATATTATTTCCTTGCCAGTTTACTATCCATTTACACGTAATTAACAATACTCGTGTAAATTACATAATTCCAACGTATCATAATTATTATCCCCGTCATCAATTTACATGAAATTAACAATACACGTGTAAATTACATATTTGCAACGTATACTTCCCTATACCAGTTCACTATCAATTTACACGAAATTAATAATAGTCCGTCCCCCCCCCCCCCCCCCCCTTCCTTACTCTATACCAAAGCAAGACGGTCATCCTAATTGCCAAACACCAGCATCGCAACATGTTTGCGCATTCCTGCCATAGCATCGAGATACCTGCATAGATTCCCTGCTTGCGAGACACGCGCCTCTTTGTGAGTTAATTAGGCCAAGAATTTCGCGCCTTCGAATTTTCTCGCGAAGAACTTGTAGGCCTATACCCGAAGGAAACGCTCTCCCACAAATATTAATATTGCTCGTTTTTATTATTTCGTTTAAAAAATATTTTGCGAATTAGAATCTGGTCTTATGAATTATCAGTATGCTGTTGAGTTTCTCTGACTAAAAATGATAATAATACAGTGCAATAATATAAATGTCTACGTATATATAGTTATGAATGTGCCTACACATTGCTACAACCCTCTTTCTCCCCCACCCCTCTCTCTCTCTCTCTCTCTATCTCCATCTCTCTCATTCTCCTCCTTTTCACTTCTCGCTTTAAGATCCACCACCAAAATTTTTTCAATGATACCTCAAATTCTTTGATCCACCACCATCTCCATTCTCGTCTTACAATTCAATTTCATCCCTGGCACCCCGCGACCCGCTTTCGTACGGTTCCCTTCCTCCAAGCCCGCCCCACAGCTCCCCGAAGACGGGAACGTGAGATGATGAGGCTGTATGTGATATGCCGACATCTCGTTCGCATGTGCCTGCGCTAGACAGGAAAAAATGGTTTTGATATAAAGAAGAAGAAAAAGAAACAGAAGAGAGAAATCAGAAACAATATGCCTCGAAGAGGAGGATGGTGAGACGAATTAAGGTAACTGTCATGTCGAGAAAAGTATACCAGTCCTTACGCGTTTTGTTTTTTGGCGCCTCTTCAAATTTTGTTTTCTTCTCCTTTGCGCGTTTACATTCCCTTCCCTTCTCTCACCCCCCCCCCCCCCCTTCAACCCTTCTCTCTCTCTCTCTCTCTCTCAATATTTCTTACTATTTGCGACTTTAATCCTGGTTTCAAGACACATACTTTTAAATTCGTATAATGCTTCAATTTCAATTCTTAACATAGGAAAAGAGAAATTCGGAAGAAAACAAAATATACAAAAAACGAAACAAGGCAAACAATAAAAATGTAACGCGTACGCAACTAAAATAAAAACTGCACCATGCAACCCAATCAATATTGGCGATCATTTTATTTCTTCATCTTTCATTTCCCCCCTCATAACCCGGAGCTATTTCCCTATATCCCCGTCTCGATGAATGAGATCGAAATAATGAACGAATGGGGGGCTTATTATTCACCTCATTCCCTTCTTACACCGGCGACAATCTTTGCAAGTCCTCGTAAATTGTGGGCTTACCGTTGGAATGTGCTGATCGGAGGAGCTTCGGCGCGTTGACATGTCTCTGTATCGGTGGGCTCTCTGCGAGGTGGGCGGAGGGCTGTGTGCGGATACTGGGAGAGGGAGAGAGAGAAAGAGGAAGTGTTTCGTTGTATTTATTTTGCCATGGCAACCGTAATTGCAGATTTCAGTTACTCCGGGTTATTTCTGATGTTATCTGAGGGTGTGATATTTTACCTGCATAATATGCTGTCACTCGCAAGCTAGGCTAATAAGGCTTACACAAAATGATAAATAAGTTATGAGCTTGTCAACAGTTGCGACTTTGTTATAATTCGCTATGTAAAAGAGTCGCAATTTCCAATCTAAGCTTTTACGAAGGAATATGATATAACCTCATTATTTATCTTGTTCTTCATTAATATTTTACACAACAAGAATTAAACACATCCCCCCCCCCCCCCCTCTCACTCAAACATATTTGTCATGAGAATGGGATCGCCGAAACTTGGGAAATGGTGTGCTCGCCGTTTTTGTGAGCCGAATTCAGACTAAGGGCTAATTCTACGCGTTCTATTTGTGTCAAATTTGACACATTTTTCACCTTTGTATCAATTTCGTTATGGGAATTAATCGAGGCCAAGATCTACCGTTTTTGTTGGAGCATGCCTGCCTCAGCAGTGACGAGCAGGGCCGCTCCCCAGTGACCGCTCGACTGATATGCCGTGATAGCACTCTCTCGAACACGGGCAGATTGTCAAACCGCGGTTGTTCAGCAGTAGTCAAAGTGATAAATACATGGAAATTATTAAATACGCAATAATATTTATAAATAAAACATGACAAAATAGAGGGTTAAATCTCTAATTGGGCATGATTTATGTGATCTATGTAGGCCTATATCTATGTGTTTTCTGCGAATACGTGCATGTTTTACCTCATCCAGAGTTTTACGAAGCTAGAGTGTCCCATCACAAAATTCACAACATAATCCTTTTCCAATTTGTCCGTTTCGAATACCATAACATTTGATAGAATTCGTGCGAGGGAATCTAGATTTCAAATTGTGGAAGAAATCAACGTTTTATGTCCTTTGTTATTAGACCAAGCAATTGATTTCAAATAGGTTATTCATTCTATTTTGTTTCATTTTATCCTTTGTCTTTATCGTGTTGGTTTTCTGCGCTTGGACCAAATCTTGTCCTAAATCTCCATTCCCAACCTACTTTAGTAATCTTTCTATCATCCTCCTCCTCCTCCTCCTCCTCCTCCTCCTCCTCCTCCTCCTTCGCAAGCCGTGAACTCCCTCTCCCCCTTCTTCCCAACTCGGCCGACTTCTTTCTTCTTTCGTACACCACCAGTCTCGGTTACCGTAACGGAATCTCAAGGTTGCTGCAGCCCGCTTCCTTCCCGGTCTCTTTGTAGTCGCCGCCCGATGTAAAGAAAAAGTCCAGCGGAGAGGCCTGGCTCGCTTATCCCCTCATCCCGTAGTCTTTAAATTTGATTCGTAACATCGAGTGTTGACAGGGGCGCCCTCATTTTCATTTTCCCTAAACTTTTTCTTCTTCTTCTGCTTCCTCTTATTCTTCTTTTTCATCATCTTCTTCTTTTACTTCTTCTTTTTCATCTTCTTCTTCTTTGTCTTCTTCTTCTTTATCTTCTTCTTCTCCTTCTCCTTCTCCTTCTTCATCTTCTTCTTCTTCCTCTTCTTTATCTTCTTCTTTTTCTTCTTCTTCTTCTCCTCCTTCCCATCCTCCTCATCCCTCTTCTCCTTGTTCTAATATACAAATGTCTTTTCCTTTGCCATTTCTTTTTTCTTCACACATCATTTTATTTTTTATTTTTACTTTCTTTTTATAACCTATTTCTTTCTCATACATTAGGGGTTTGCATTATTATTATTAATTCATAAAGATACATTTCAACTTATGTCAAAAGATGTCAAAAAAATGCATCCCTAGACTAAATTGAGTTATCTCTTGTCACTATGCTTGTTAAAACAAAGGCGAGAAATTAATGTAACACGACTAACCCACAACCATTCAGAGAATTCCATGTACATTGCACAAGATTGGGTGAATTTCACACAACTGGCATCTCACGAATTTCAACTATCTCGCAATAGTATTGTTCTTAGGATGTAACTTTCAAGAACGCAACTTTTATATTCTGATCAGAATGTTAGCAAACTCTTTACAAGCATTGATCTATGAATCACATTTTTGTAAATGTTTCGATGAAAACACACCTAACAAAATACACTTTCACTCACAACTTGCCCTCCCTGAAATTCTTGAGTGAAAATGTACGAACCGAGCACGTAGTTCGTTCTGTTTTTCTTCCTCGCTAAATATCTCTTTGTTGTTGACGGGGAAAGTATCATGTCATGTCTTCCCCTTTTCTCATGAATCGTTTTGTTGTTATAGAAGAAAATCGGGCGGCATATGGCGCGCTGTCCCGCCTCCCATGTAACATAAACACTTGTTTTCATGAGCAACAAACACAATGCGAGTATGTATTATCCACGGGAGCGCCTCCTTTTGTTTCAAGCCGCGGCACCTGTCCAGTGGTTTCCGACTTTCAGTATAATTAACCCTCTAGCTGCCAGGGGAGAACGGGGCAATGTTGAGGGAGATGTACCGCTTTGGGGTTCGAGAGCGAAAGGCGAAGCGCGCCGCAGGTGTATCGCACAGTTATCTTTTGGGAGATGTTTGGTTTCGACGCGGTTCTATATAAGAAAACAATTCCAACACCCCCCCCCCCTTTCCTCATTCTCTCTCTCTCTCTCTCTGTCTCTCTCTCTCTTTCCCTCAGTAAGATTTCTTTTGTATTCGTTCTCTCTCGCACTGCGCCTCCCATCCCCCACCCAACCCACCGCCGTCGCATTTCAATCAAAACACTTTATCCATACACATTAAAAACAAAGCGCTTCACAGAAAGCCCTCCGAGCCCGCAACGCGTCTAGTATCCATAGCAACGGAGAACTCTCACTCTCACTCTCTCTCTCTCTCCTTTTCTCTCCGACTCGCTCTCCAATGATTTCTCCAAAGTCTGACAAGAAGAAATACAATCGCACATTAATGGTGTGTATGTCATTCAGTATACTATCTGGTTTCCCTCTTCCAACCTTATCCCCTTTCTCCGACTTCGCTCTTTTGTTTGGAAATGAAATTAGGTTTTAAAACAAAAAACTAGACTGGGAAGGACACTTGAAAGCTTTTAGCGAAATGAAAACACAATCCCGTTTTAACATACATGTATTACTCTACGTGCCGTATCGAGGTGCAGAAATTATCTTTACGTATGACCTATTTTCGTTTGAGAGAGAAGTGTAGAAACGTATGTTGGGGGGGGGGGGCATAATTCTAAATGTTAAAACATAAAATTTATAATATGCGCTAGATTAATGTACAAATTAATATGGAGTATTATTCCAAAGATAAAAAAAACAATTATTCTTTTATATTAAACTGCGTTGTCATACCGGTGTTAGCTACACAACATGTGGTGGGTGGCTGGAAGAAAAGAAACAAAATACCAGGGTATTTTTTAATCTTTCATATCGGTCTCCCCCGGGGGAGTTTCTCTCAGCGGATAGCGAAGGTAGCCCGTGAAATAGGGAAAAAAAGGGGGGGGGGGAGAGAGAAAAACATTGACCCGGTTAAGGTTACGCACTCTGGTTCTCTCTCTGTTAAAAAAAAAATTCTTTTCAATTCTTCCCCGCACCCTTTCTATCTCACTTTGTCTCTCACTCTTTCTTCTTGCTCTCTCTCTCTCTCTCTCTCTCTCTCTCTCTCTTTCTTTTACTCCTTCCTTTCCTCTGCTCTGTGCCTCCTCTTCTCGCACCGTTTCTCTTCTTCTCCCCATCTCTCTTCCCTCTCTTTACTCATCCCGCCCATCCCATTGTCATATTCTTTATCCATTTTTTAAACCGATCCCAAAGTCAAATACATGTTTTGTTCTTGTTATAGTGTAGTATGACATGATTGTTTTGTAAATAACCTCTACTTGATTTCCGGGGAAGTTAAGGCCTATAATTGCACATGTACCATAATATCCAACGCACCTCCTAAAATAATAGTATTCAAAGGATGAGTTGATAGAGGAATGAAAAAGTTGCAAAAATTACAAGAGCAAAACCGGGAAGAAAATGAGCTACCGTGCCACATTCGAGCAGAGAGAGAGAGAGATAGAGAAGAAAAAAAGAGAGAAGGAGGGAGATGGGGGAAAAAAATCAGTTTAGAACATCTGCCCAAGTGCCTCCAAATAGAATAAATATTAAAAAGATATTTTACAAATGGCTTCGGGCATTTTGAATTAAACCTCCGCGACCTTTTTCACGGCTCGCACCTCTCTCATGGGACACCAGAGCGGTACTCTGTCGGCTTGCCAAGCAGTGCCTCTCCCGTTGTGACCCCAATACTTTCCGCTACATTATCAACGTGCTGTTCTCTCTCTCTCTCTCTCTCTCTCTCTCTTCATATGCCTATTTCTTTTTTCTTTTCTTTTTTCTATCTTTCTCTCTTTCTTCCCCCTTGTTTCCTCCTTTCTTCTTTTCTTTCTCGGTGAATTATTACTGTAATGAAATTAGAATCAAGTTCTTTTGACTAAAATAATCCTCAACAACAGAAACACTATACTATAGGCCTGTCTCGAACGTTTACAGCATTGTGTAAGCTTACCAAATCGGTCAACTACTGATGTCATAACGTAGGACGTTCGACTATTTCATACTGAATGAGAAATGTTATTTCATCTCGAATAGGTCGAAATTTTATTAATTTTCATCACATTCTGGGACACCACTATATAGCATATTCAGATAGCTGGCGCTGTTGCCGATATAGTGGAACAAGGACAACCACCCAACCCGCTTGCGCGACCATGGTCAGCATTGAAATACACCTACCAAGTGTTTTACTAGCTTCCCTTGATCTTTTCTTGTTTCTTTTTCTTCCCATTAAATCTCTGTTGTGAACTTGTACATAGAAGTTAAGAACCACCTGTCTTTAAAGAGCATTTCTCTTGTTTGTTTGAGAGACCTTTGTAAAATCTTATGACTGTGTCTTAATTAACCGTACCTAATTATTTATATTTCCTTCAATTAAAATTGAATCAAATTATATTTATCTCTATCTCTATCCCTCTCTCTCTCTCTCTCTCTCTTTACCCGCCCATCCCATATATTCTTTATCCATTTTTAGCCGATTCCAAGGTCAAATACTACCCATATTGTGATAGCATGACATGAGTGTTTTGTAAACAATCTTGAATTGTATGACTGTGTCTTGTTACTTCATTCAATTTATAAACCATGCCTAATTATTTATATTTCCTTCAACTTAGATTGATTCAAATCATATTTTATTTTATGTGGCGATTTACAATCATCTTGATCTCCTCTTCTTTTGTCTCTCCTGATCCAGGTTTGGTTCCAGAACAGGCGCGCCAAGTGGAGGAAAAGGGAACGCTTCCAACAGTTCCAGAACATGAGGGGACTAGGACCAGGCTCCGGTTACGAGATGCCCATAGCGCCACGCCCAGATGCCTACTCACAGGTATGTAGTAGTGCAGAGTGGAGTTGACACCCCTGTAACACCCCTCTTCCTTTCATCATTAACCCCCAGTGTATCTAGTCACCCCCCTCCCCCTTCTTAAACCTTACAAACCTCTAAAAACCAAAGGTGATAATAATAATATATGAGATTTGTAAGGTGCCAAAATCGACTTGAAAGCAAATACTCCAGGCACATGTGAGATGCCCATGGCCATCGATACCTAGGCACAAAATCGCAACTGTGTCAGGGTGCAGTTTACTCGCCCATGTACACACCCCTCCTAAATCCATCGCTCTTTAACCTATATTTAAAGAGAGCCATTGCTTATAACACATACTCAAGGCACTTGTTATAATCTTCCAAAAAAGAAATCAATTTCTTAAATGTATTGAGCCTTCCTTTTATGTCTAGATTTGTGTTATTGCAAAATGCATAGAAACTGCTAGAAATCACTATAGCTTTATATATACATATTCTTTTGTTGAGAAAAAAAAATTGTGTTAGCATGCGCAAAACTACACTGTTGTCAATCTGTCTATATATCTGTATCATTATTCACGCATGTGCTGTTGTGGTACCATATTCTTTACACTGTATGGATATAAATCATACTACCGGTAGTTATCTGTTGTGTTGTTTGTGAAAATTAAAAGTAGTTATATTGCAGTGATGTCCAAGTGATGTAGTATCGCAAACTGTTTTTGTGCCGAATATATATATAAACCCCTGTGTCATGCTTGTTTTTGAGTGAAACACAATATATATATTGGCTTGTTCAAAATACCCTGCTAAACAAATATATACTCATAAATATATCAACAAGACTGCTTTTGTACAAGAAAGCTTTTTTGAGAGTTTAACCCTTCTGTAGTTAGCTGTTCACAAGCTGAAGTGTGCTTTCTAGAGTTAGTGGCGTTAACCTCACCCGATTAAACCCAACCACTTAACTTGCCCCCCGCTGAACAGGTCAATTCTCCCGGCTTCCACGTCCTCGGTGACTCGCACCAGCCCCCCGCACCCGTAGAGGGTGCTATGCTCCGAATCTGCCGAAACCTGCAGAACCTGCGTCGGGAATTCGACTCCAGAAAAATTGGGTGCCACCCGTCCAGTTCGGTAGGAGGCACGCCAGGCACCAGCACCGCCAACGAATCGCAAGACTCCAGCAATCACTCTTCAATGGTAAATGAGCGTTTCCATGGATACGCATCACCTCCTTCTCAAGTTCTCGGACACCATCCTTGCACCGTCACTTCCTAATTTCATCTTTTTCATCCTGCACTACTTCTCTGTCCAATTGTGGACCTCATTTTCACTAGGTCTTGGGGATATTGCCACTAGTCTCTACACTCCACCACCAAACCAAATTCCTATCTAAGATTTTTTTTTTAATTCAAAAGTAAATAAAAAGGCATCATCTGGCCAAAATTAAGCCTGTGAGCTTACTTTCTTCCTACATTAATTCACTGCCTTTGCAAACTTTAAGGGATTGTGTATTATTTCTTAACTTGGTATTTGGGAGACTTTGTTAAACCCTCTGTATCTATTCTCTTATTTGAGTTGATATTTTATTTTGCATCCGTTTTCACTAACACCACACAACAGCTAACCTCCTTTCCACTCATCCTAACCATTCCTTTTCATTTGCTTGTAAAATATAACTGGCATGCTTCATATGCTTGTGTGCATGGAAATAATCACTAATGGCTTAATCTTTGCATGATTTTGTTTGTTCAACTTTAGTTTGCATGTGCATGTTTACATACAATATTGTAGTAACTTCAGATAAATGCAAGTCAATTATTAATGGTCTTGCAAAAGTTTTGCTGCAATATTATAGTCTATATTTAAGCATGCTATAGAAACAACAGCATAACCTTTAAATATTGGACAATACTTCTAGAATGTTTTGCAAGAGCAATTTAATGAAAAACAAAACACATACACTGGTATTACAATTCTTAAACAAGGCATCAAACGTTTTTTTAACACTGACTAGCTACATTATGTAGAAAGTTATTTGTAATAAAGTTTAGAAAAATTAAAGAGCAGGAATACAGTACATGTATCTCCTCTTTGTCTTACTGAAGGTGCGATAAACATCAATACAAGTCTATTATTAGGCTCAAACTCTAATCAGAATTGTCTTCTCTTTTTCTCTTTGCATTGCCAGATTCATCAAGCATCGCCATGGGCAACCGCCGCAAACATGGCCTCGCCCCTCGCATCCTCCATGTCCCCGATCGTCCAGCAGCCCCAGATGCCCGGCCAGAACCCCATCAACAGCTGCATGGCCCCCCAGTCCAACCTCCCCTCCTTCATGGGTGTGCCCGCCCATCAAATGAACAACGCCGGGGTCATGAACCCCATGACCAACATGACCTCAATGACCTCTATGCCTACCAGTATGCCGCCCTCGTCTGTCTCCGCACCGGTCAGCAGCCCAAGCTCCAACTTCATGTCCAGCGTGGGGGGCCTCAACCCGGCGGCGTACAACGGACAATACACAGAGATGCACCCGTCCGTCGAGGGCGTCGGTGGCATAGATCGACGTACTAACAGCATCGCGGCACTCCGGCTCAGGGCGAAGGAGCACAGTTCTGTGATGGGGATGATGAACGGTTACTCGTAAATATTGTTTTAATAAATACGTATATATTTGTTATTTCACTCCACATCATGTTAATGTCCACCACGAATGCAAGAGGACCTCTTAAGTAGGAATCAAAATGTAACTTCCATTTCAAGGAAATAATTTGACCAATCCAAATCAAATATACCACCAAAAAATAGACTTATCAATAACATAATATTAATGTAAAATCGTAAAGATTTTTGTATTACGAAACCAGATTGAGACCAAACCTGAAGATTATTTACACCAAAGTTACTGAGAAAGAGAAGGAAAAATTTCAAAAGACATCAAGAAATATTGTGAATGGGTAAACTGGGCCTAAACACGATGAAATTATGAAAAGTACTTAAATATGTACATGCTTGTAAAGTACAAAGTTCTCTCATAGATAAGTTTTTATATCGCTTTTCCCCCAAATCTTGGGACCATCTAGCTTTTCTGTTTCCACTTCACTCCACCCTCCCCTCCCCTCTCCTTAATCTTTTAGCAAATGTGCAAAGAGATATATGAGAAGTACTTTGTGTAGCTTTTATTACGAATCATCTTTGCTCCCCTTAAGACTCTTGAATTTGATAAACCATTCTTCGTCATTGAAAGTTTTTTTTTCTGTACAAATCTCATAGGATATGAATTCCATAGCAATAATTTATTACAAACAAAAAGCTTGAATGCATAGAAGCAATAGAATTAGAATTGTATAGATGTGCAAAGATATATATGTTGTTGGTATGCTCAAAATCTTTGCTAGTAACCCTGTTAGGGTGTGTGGTAAGAGGCATACAACTGTCTTGAGACTTGGAAGGAATTGAAGGATGTACAAAGAGGATGGAATTTCTCAGTTATGGGGAAAAGGAAAGTTGGTCAGTAAATATAGGTGTATATATTATTAATTGTGAAAGTTAAAAGGTATTATTGCATGGTTTGAAAGGGAGTCCTGAAGCTTAGTGGCTATAGACTCCTTGGAAAGATGGTATCTTGAAAGAGGTTTAAAGGCAGTTACACAAAATGATGGGGTGTCCCCTGTAGGATGAACAAAAATTTCTCATTCATCTGTCAAAAGAGCATAGCATACTAAAAAAATATATATATTAATGTATGCAACACGCAAAATACATAAAAATCTGATATTACTTTAAACTCAAATTGCAAAAAAATGGCCTTGTGGTCCTATTTTGCTGCAAAAACTTTCACAAATATCTTCACGGACTACTCATTGAATTCACAGAAGTTTCTCGCACACCAAGGATATGAGTGGGAAAAAATTGTCGAAATTTGGCGATGCAGCTGTATTTTCTTTAGCCATACTTGATAATCAATAGGACACCCCACAGCCAGTGTATGGAAGTTCATGTTGAATAGATTCCTCACAAAAAAATCTGCTAAATTAGAGCGTATTAGCCTGATGAGTGTTTGAGTATTACTGCACTGTGATAGCTGCCTGTGCTTGTTCATTACCTGCAAAACTACTTTGCATCGCACTGTAGCGCGGGAATGGATAATCGCACGGCATCGTCACAAATAAAAACCAGATCAAAATGTATTCATTAAATTAATGTAGACTTAGATGTAGCAATGCATGTAGAGGTGCTTCTCGTGCTTATTTAGTTTTAAACTCAATTGCACGGTCTGGGTTGTGTAGGGTTTGGGTTAGTGAGATGGAAATCAAGAATTATACAACTGAAAAAGCCATTGAGTCTTGCCTGCGATGTGCAAACTGACTTACTTCATGCATCTCCTGTTTAATATCAAATCTTAAAATGTCAAGTTTCTGCTCAAAAGAGCATTTTCAGTTCCGTTTCTTTGCCATTTGTTAGTCTTTTTTGCCAATATTTGCCAATTTTGTTATCGTTATATTTTCATCTTGCCAACGACATGATCCTAACCTCATACCGTGAGTGTGCTAATAATGTGTGTTACTGAATTAGAAGTGTGCTAGCCATTAAAACTATTGTGAGTGAAAAAATGTTGCACTTTAAACGGTGCTTGCTGTAGTAGCCAATCAGAGACGAGTATCTAACTGTGGCAGGACCACTCAGTCACTCACGGACCAATAGAAACTCCTGTCTCATTCTAACGGCTCTCCAAAGCACTTTTTGAAAACACTAATTTAATGTGCACTTGGTTCTTGGTTGTGTAACCTTATCAATTTGTATTTATTAATAATTTTGAATATTTTTTTTGATTAATTTGTGAATTCCTACTTAGAATGCAACTCACTGATTCATTTGATATGTAAATTATGCAAGACCTGTATTGTAGTTTGTTTTTTTCTACTCTTTTTTTTTTTTTATGTTATCTCAGAACCAAAGTAGTATTCATATTATATCTGAATTCATTTTCACACTGTTTTCTCGGAGGCGTCCCAGCTCCTTCATATTCATTATGCAAATATTTTGTGACAAAGAATTCTTATTTGTTAATATTATAATGTGTACCTTTCTAGACATTGTTTATAACTATTCGATTGTACAGATATTTGTTTCATAATTTTACTCTGAGCGAGTTTTTATTGTGATGTTTTTATTGATTTGGAATTGTTTATAGACCTCAATTTTTGTTCCAAAATAACATTTCAGCTCGTTTGTTGATTACATGGAGCGGGTATTGAGTATAGAGTACAGAGAAAGGCTGCATATGTACATAGAAAGCCGCAAGACTGTATGTCATGTGTATCACAGTGACGAGGTCAAAGTTCAAAGTTCAAAACAGGGTCAACATTATCTAAGAGCTCAATAACGAAATATGTCTTTAACAAAAAAAAGATGTGATTTCTTCTGGCAAGAAATGAGAACAAGAAGACGTAGTGTTTTTATTCTTGTATCTTTTCATCAGTGATAACATTTATTCAAATATCAGCAATAATTTGATTTAGTTTGCTAAATAAATTAACATAAATGTCAGTAAGATCCTCGATATTTATATCACTGTCTTTTTTTGTTTAAATCAACATCCTTCCAAAATTGCCATCAGAAGAACTGAGTTTTGTAGCAATAATTATTACGCGTACATCAATCCTGCCAAAGCATCGATAGAAAGAATTCAATATTTGTATTCAAACTTGATTATTTGTGTTCTTTGATCGTGATGTTTACTATATGGGTTTTTGTTATTTTTTTCAATGTACATTTCCCGTGATCTAGTTCGAATATCCGCACCCCCCCCCCCAAGTACCTTACCATACCCTATTTTGTGTTTTTCGGTGGAAAGAGCATGGATATACTTGTACAGAAAAAAGAAGAAAAAAAGATGGTGAACTTTTTCCCGTTTGTTTGTAAAGTTGAAGATAGAGTACACAAAATATGATATGTTTTTATGTACAGAAAAATGATCTCAATAAAAGAATAATTGATGTCATTGACAATGTGGATTATATTTGTAGTTTGAAGTTTATTTTCTATGAATGTTGTGGAGCACTAGAGTGGACATGGATGAGAATATAAACGAGAGAATGAGTATATAAACGAGAGAATGAGTATATAAACGAGAGAATGAGTATATAAACGAGAGAATGAGTATATAAACAAGAGAATGAGTATATAAACGAGAGAATGAGTATATAAACGAGAGAATGAGTATATAAACAAGAGAATGAGTATATAAACAAGAGAATGAGTATATAAACAAGAGAATGAGTATATAAACAAGAGAATGAGTATATAAACAAGAGAATGAGTATATAAACGAGAGAATGAGTATAAGAGAAAGTCGAGTTCTGGTAACGATCAAAAATAATATGTTGGCTTTCTTATTCCTTTTATGTCAGCTTGGAAGTTTGAATTTCATAACGAGAATTTCCCCTGAAAATGTCCCCTGTCCCCCTCATATTCAAAATTTGACAAGAAATCTCACCAGAACTCAACTTTATTTTTAAAGAATCATAAGTGACATTGGGTGTAAGAGATTTGCAACAAAGCACAATGTGATTGCAATCTAACAGTGTGAGTTGGAGAGCAAAGAATGCTGTGAGTTTCAGTGATGTGAAAATTTGAAAGAGAATATAAGTTGAAGGATTGTTTGTAAGAACTGTAAACTTGAGAGAATTATTTGCCATTGATAATGGCATGGACAAATCTTAACCCTTGGATGATACCTTTGATGGCATAAAGCCAAGAACAATTGTAACCCTGATCCCAACACTAAACCTTACCATAACCCTAGCCTTCACCTCACCCTAAACCCAACACTAATCCTAATTATAACCCTAAACCTAACCCTAAAACCAACCTTAAACCCTAGGCAAATCTTATACCTTTTTGATGACATAACGCCCTGAGCAGTTCTCACCAAAGAAAATGTGTGAGCACCTAACATTTGTGATTAAGTAGGTCATGTAAAGGAGAACATACCTTTTACTTGCCCATCGATAATAGACTGGTTTATTAATATATTTATGGATATTTCTTTCCTGGGAACCTAGCGTTAAGTTATTCCATTAACCTGTTATAAATGAATGTACTACACCCCTTACTTGGAATCCAGTATGCATTAGTGGTGCTGCAGCACTAATGACCTTTGGCTAGACATTTATCTACATTTGCCACTCTCCACCCAGGTGTTAAATGGGTACCGGTAGGAAGGAATTCCTTGAATGCTCTGAGCATCAAAAGCGGTAGCTTAGCAGAGCCAGGATAATATTGGAGCTCATTGAGTACCTTACATGGTTGATAAGTGCACTATAAACATATCCAAATCCAATATTATTACTATGTCGGGCAAGCCTCGGGCAAGCTCTTGGGTTGTCAAAACAACCTGTATTTAAAGCCCCTCATTACCAGTGTAAAGGAAGGATTAGACCACACTGCAAGGTCACTGGACAGGTGGTTATCTCATCAACTCGGCTCTCAAATAACATAAGAAAAAGAGGATCATGGGAGACCAATGGTCACCGATTAGGCATTGTTTGTTATATAGAGGGCGCAAGTAGCTACAAGTAGTGCAGTGGGCCTTTAAGAAGTATGCATAAAATTAGAATATGATAGTAAATCTATCAATTGAGACAATTTGTTTCTATTTATCAGACTGGTGTCCAACCTACCTCTCGGTACCTTTTATGACTCTCAAAGGTCCATGTAAGCCCCAGAGATGAGGTCAGACTGGTTTATTTAAGAAGTATGCATAAAATTAGAATATGATAGTAAATCTATCAATTGAGACAATTTGTTTCTATTTAACAGACTGGTGTCCAACCTACCTCTCGGTACCTTTTATGACTCTAAAAGGTCCGTGTAAGCCCGGAGATGAGGTCAGACTGGTATATTTAAAAAGTATGCATAAAATTAGAATATGTTAGTGTTCAATGATATATTTCGTTTCTATTTATCAGACTGGTGTCCAACCTACCTCTTGGTACCTTTTATGACTCTAAAAGGTCCATGTAAGCCCCAGAGATGAGGTCAGACTGGTCGATTGAGAGTTGCTTCATCAGATCCTGAGCTATGTCTTGGCCTTCTTCTTGTGTTTGATGCTCCTCCAGAACAACCTAGAGTTCATGAAAAATAATAATAAATACAGCATTTGTTACGCGCCATCGATCTAGTGAACTATTCTGAGGCACAGAGGGATAGAATTAGAATGAGTTACATATAGAAATGAAAACAAATATGCATAGATGTACATTCAACATAACATGGCTGACTGACAAATAAGAGTATTTGCTACAAAATCAAAACTACAGTTAAGAACTTAAAGATAAAGACCAGTTATGGTCATGCGATTGCATTGAGAAAGAAACATTGTGGGATCTAGCATATAAGTATTGGTGTGTATTGCAAGGTTCTGGAATCATCAAAATGATAAGAAATGTGGCCCAGTCTTCGTAAAGTTACAAGCACTGTACACAGAAAGATGTATATGGGACTACGCTCACGTGTGCGACATGTGCGTTTATCTATCACGTCCAAAAAGATAAATTAGTTTACCAAATATATCAATTAGTAGGCGGTTTCTCAGCAAAATTTGTATCATCATGTATTAGTCAAAACATATTCTTTCACATGATTGGTAATAAGAGCTTCCATTTCATTTTTTGAGAGGGGGGAGTTTCCAAAACTGGTCTTTACCTTTAATCATTCATACCACCTTGTAAATTTTGATGTTTTTTGTGTTTTCTTGTTCCTCAAGAATGAAAGGTGGTCTGGAATTAGGGCTTTTGTTAAAGGTAAAGACCAGTATCGGAAACGCCCCAATTTCAAAAAATGAAATAGAAGCTCTCATTACCAATCATGTGAAAGAATATGTTTTGACTAATACATGATGATAAAAAATTTGCCGGGAAACCGCCTACTAATTCATATATTTGGTAAATTTGTTTCTCTCATGGTCTGTGAGAGATATAGGGTAGTCCCATATACATCTTTCTGTGTATAGTGCTTGTAACTTTACGAAGAATGGGCCAAATTTCTTATCATTTTGATGATTCCAGAACCTTGCAGATGCTAGATGCTAGATGATCAACCTTTTCTGATCGATTCCACAACGTTTCTTTCACAATGCAATCGCATGACCATAACTGGTCTTTACCTTTAAATACGTTTAGATGTAAGCTTTAATTTGTCACATTCTCAAGAAACACAAATGGGGACAAATCTTTTTTTCACATTTTCAAACTTTGAAACAAAATCATTTACAAATTCATTCCAAAGATTATTAGACCCAAGTAATTTCTCTCACACGAAAAATCACTTACATAAACAACTCAAAATTAATACAGATACATAATTTATAGAATACTTATCAAGTATTCATTATCATGATCTAAGAGGAAAATGTTCATCCATGAGCAAGCATTTCCAAGATGTCTTCTCTTTACAATTTTGTTTAAATTCATGAATTTACCTCCAACTCCATGAAGTTTCCGAGCCCTTCCACCTCATCAATGTGCAGCCTCGTCTGGCCAATCATCATTAGCGTTCTTGTTTTCTTGACCACACCCCTCACACCGCACGCCATGCCTAACGTTTCCTGTGATTGGTGGGAATAACGAGGGGAAATTAAACACAAGAAAGCAATTTAGTACATAATGAAAACAAATAAAGTGTTATAGAGGTTAGTTGTCTGGGGTGGGGTAGGGGTATCCAAGAAAATGTTCATCCTTGAAAGCTTGCTCAGTGTTTTTCTTTTATAAGCAAAAATGTCACATCGAAATACCTGTGGGGGAGGGGGGGGGGGTAATCCAAGAACACACAAATATTTAATACTGCATGCATGGTCAGGAGAACTAGATCTCACATCCAAAGTTGATACAGTCAACCCACTATCAGATCCCCGGCAAACGTCAACGTTCATCAAAGCTAGCTGAGCGCCTCGTCGTGTGATCAAAATGCAATTTAATGCACGGCATGCTACGATGATGTCATTTTGACAGAAAAGAAATGAATTAAATTTCATGCTTCGTGAGTGGCTCAAATCCCCAGGTGAGCGAGCGATGATGGGCAGAAATCGAAGACGGTTGATCGCGAAGGGCGATTGATTTCCACTTTTCTCCTAAGAACTCTTTCTTTAAATCATTTTCAGTGCATGGCGTCTGGTGGTTGAGCAGTTTCATCTTTTTCTTGTTTGTTTGTTTGTTTGGGGGGGGGGGTTCTTTGCTGGTTTCTTACTTTTTCTGTTGTTTGTTGTTTCTATTATTATATGTTTTGTTTGGTTTTGCTTCATGACACACATTTATTTTCATACAGTTACTATTTTTTCGATTACATTTGAGTGTCCAGACATTCTCTGTGTTTATCTACTACTTTTTTTCCTCCTTTTTTCCCTTTTATTCATTAAAAAATAAATCTCATATTTTCCATCTCTTTCTACCATTCTTAGGATCTTTTCTTATAAATGCTACACAAAATCTTTCTTGCTTCTCTGACTCTCCCTCTTTTTTTTCTCTTCTCTTTCTCTTTCTCTCTCCCCCTCCCGCTCTCTTCTCTTTATCTTTCTTCTCTTTTCTTTTTCTTTTTTGCCTCACTCCCATCTCAACATTTCTTACTCTGTTCTTTGATCCCAAGATATCTCTTTATCTCTCTCTCTCTGTCTCTTCCTCTCTGTCTTTATTTCTCTTTCTCTTTTTTTCTCTGCCTCACTCCCTAATCCCCTTTTTTCTAAGACTTATGCCATTCTTTGATCCCACTGCTCTCTCTCTCTCTCCCTCTCTTTGTCTCTGTCCGTCTTTCTCTCTCTCTCTCTCTTTCCCTCCCTCTCTCTCTCTCTCTCTCTCTCTCTTTGTCTCTATCTGTCTTTCTCTCTCTCTCTCTCTCTCCCTCCCACTCTCTCTTTCTCTCTCTCTCTCTCCCTCCCACTCTCTCTTTCTCTCTCTCTCTCTCTCTCTCTCTCTCTCCATCCCTCAGAGGGCACGCTCCCCTCTCTATCTCACAGAGACAGTCCACTACAAACAGGTGGATTCAATTAGGGTACTGGAGCCAGAGAGGGGGGATGTTCTGCGCCCCTCCCACTTCAGGAAGGGGCACTTAATAACACCCCCTTCCTCTCGGGAACGCAAATTCATAAGATGTCCAACTGTGGTCCGAGGGGAAGGAAACTCCTTGTGAAATTGAGTGTTTGGTTTAAACTCAAAATTGTTTGGGTTTGCGGAGCTGATGTTTTTAATGCACTACCGGACTACGATAGAAATTTATTTTATTCATTATGTCTGAATTTGTAAGTGTTACTGAAGGAGGGGGGGGGGGGTGTCTGTATAGGGTACTTGATGTTTATATTTCATTTGTATCCCCTTTGTTATCCTTTTATATGATATGTTCAGTTGCTTTCTGTTTGACTAGCCTTGTGTTTTTTTTTAAGGTATCCTTTCATCTATTATTTTGCCAATTTGTCTATTTATGACTGTTAAATGAGGTGTTTATACATTGTTTGATGATAATTAAATGAAATTGAATTGAATTGAATTGAAAGTTCACATGGATCCGTCATGGTTTCAAACTTTAAAGGTAAAGAACAGTTTTGGAAATGCCCCAATTTCAAAAAATGAAATGGAAGCTCTCATTACCAATCATGTAAAAGAATATGTTTTGAATAATACATGATGATACAAAATTTGCCGGGAAACCGCCCACTAATTCATATATTTGGTAAATTTGTTTCTCTCATGGTCTGTGAGAGATATAGGGTAGTCCCATATACATCTTTCTGTGTATAGTGCTTGTAACTTTACGAAGAATGGGCCAAATTTCTTATCATTTTGATAATTCCAGAACCTTGCAGATGCTAGATGCTAGATGATCAACCTTTTCTGATCGATTCCACAACGTTTCTTTCACAATGCAATCGTAAGACCATAACTGGTCTTACCTTTAAGCTTGCGAAATCTCGAAGTTATGAACAACAATCCACTATAAATAACAACAAAGGTTCACACAAGACTAAAACAATAATTATTCACAGTTAACTACAATCCATGAAAAGAATTCATTATAACTACAAGCTGGCGTAGCCTCACAATTTAGACCATCTTGATCTGTTTCCATTTTCTATTTGGATTACTTCATGAGGTTTGGGCAAAAAATATGACAATGTTCATGTAAAGTTGGTATAAGATATTCTACTACATACATAAGATGAAATTATCTGTTGGAGATTTTTATGCAATGAATATATACAACAGTGCCCTGCCAGAATCAATCCTGTATCACTTGCTTCTCTTCAAAATATTTGCTCATTAAACATGCATTTCTTTTTTACCAGCATTACATGGACATCACATTTATATAACATAATACATAAACTTAAGGTCTATAATATTGATCTACCGTGAAGCTAGAGTTCTTCTAAACATAGCTGGCTATGCTTTTTAAGCTAAACTGAATTTGAGCAATCATTGTTTTGGTTGATAGGAGACATAGTTTCTCACTTTTGGTACAAGATCCCCCTCTCCCTCGCCCCCTTCCTCCCTTCCAACTCCCCCTCCCTCATGTCTCTCTCTCTCTTTCTCTCTCTCTCTCTCTCTTTCTCACCTTAAGGCTTTCTGGATCATCCACTTCTGTGATAGAATACTTGGATTGTTTTGGTCCATCCTGATCTAGTCGGATATAGGCAATCAACTTAGATGGCCTGGAAGGGCGATTCTTTTTGAAGAAATATATATAAACAAAATATAACAACTTTTCAAAAAGATATAACAAAATAAAGTTCATAAAAATTGCTGCTTATGGTCAATTTTGTATTACTCCTCCTCCCTTTCCCCATCTCTCACCCTCCAAGTGCATTTGGTAATGGACTCATACATCAAAGAAGTTTGTGGACCGTCAGCAGTATTCCTTCACAGGAATCAACTATAGATGGCAGTATTTCACTTTGAATGCAAGGACATGCAAACTGATCAGTATTGTGATGCCTAAAAAAAATCTTCTTCTTCTTCTTCTTCTTCTTTTCTTCTGTCTCCTTTTCCTACTCCCAGTAAAACTGATTGAGATATGCAGGTGGACTACTGCACAGTGCACAGGGTTATAGCGCAGTGGGTTTATAACTTGGGAAGGTGGCGATTCTCTTCTACAAGGGCCCTCGATTTAATAAAGTTCAACTTACAACAATCTCTCGTAGTTTCAATCTTCCCTCCTTGCAGTTGAAGAAGGTATCAACTTGTTTCATGACGTCCATCTCCTGCTCATCGGCAAGCTTTTTGGCAAGCGCCCTCAGGCGGTCAGGGTCCTGCAATCGGGCCTTTATCTCAACATTCAACTTCATTTTGCTGCAAAGTGTAGTGCTGAATAAAGAAAATAATAAACATTTACATGTATATGGTGCTTTATTCTTTCTAAACACTTTCAACTTCAAAATATTATAACCAACCCCTAACTTCAACCAAACATGCTGGTCCTCACTCCACCTGCTTTGTCTTTTCCCCTTCTACTCTACTTATAGATTGTAAATGCTTTGCTTTGTTTGATTTGACTGTAGATCTATACATGTTCATTCTTTTTTTTCTTTAATGAAAGACATAATTTTAAATCTAAATGTGAATTTGAATTTGAACTTGACCTAGTCCACTCTGCTTTCAATAATATACATAGCCACATAATGCGTTATCAACAGAGTTTGTCAGTTATTTTGTAGACTATAGTCCCTTACCATTCTTTCATTTGAATAATGTTTATTTAAAATCTATCCGTGCCTCTCAAACAACAGACCAGTTGAGTTACCGGTTTCCAGTTTCGTGAATCTTTAAGGCATGGACAATCACAGTCTACAACACAAAAGTGTTCTTTGTACCGTAATTAGGTTACACTGTACTCGAAACTTTACCATATTCCATTTCTGCTTCCAAGAAATGACCTCTGCAGGCTCATGATTGGAATAAAGTTCAGCAAAAGCATGAGGAACTTAAACTTCTAACAATGAAAGATGATGAATTGTATGCTCAACAAAGCCGGTTCTCATCGGTCTTCAAACAGAACTTAGTACAGTGTCTGTAAAGATACAAATAGTCATAGGGCCTGTTTCATAAACTTATCATTGATACTGTCCTCTAAAGTGGTTGGGGCACAAACGAAAAAGGGCACTTTCTGGAAAAAAGAGGCACTTAAAAGCGAAAATATACAATTTTTAGACATTGGTATGTATGCGCCTACATTGTGATTACATTATCAGGGATGATTGCGATATTTGTTTCACTCTTTACATGGTCTAAGGAACTGCTTAAGCATCATACTTTTCAGCTGGGTGTGATGGTCTGAATATCAATTTTTGAGCAAGCAAGCAAAAAATTTTAATAGAAGCACGTGTCAAATTAGAATTAAAACTTATTACAAAGGATAATAGATGATCATCAGATTTTAATAGGGACAGAGGTGACAAGGGGCGTTCATGAGAAGGGGTTCTTATTAAAAGGGAAAAGGGACACTTATTTGAAAGGAAAAGTAGGCACTTGTCAAAATAAGAAAGGGCACTTATTGGGGAAAGGAGCACTTGTCGAATTAAAGGGTCCACTTTAAAGAAGGGGAAGGGACATTTACGATAAAGGAAAGAGGCACTTGTCAAACTAAAGGGGCAATTATCAGAGGTAGCATGGAGCACTTATATTACCTATATTACCCACTAGAGAGAAAATAGGCACTTTAGTAGTACTTGATCCCCCCCCCCCCCTCCCCCCTCCTGAGCACCCCCTCTGATAACTATAGCATTTATACAACAAATTTGCCTACAGCCAAATTGTTTTTAATCACTCATGCGTGAAATATGCATCATATGAGTTGCATCAAATAAAAGAGGAGGATCTAAGCTTTAAAAATATGTGTCATTTATTAATTATAATTGTGATTAAGTTATGATAAAAAATTCTATAATTCTCGGTTTCATTTTTTCTGGGACGCACTATAGTCTATATACTTCTTAAAATTAATGTTCAGTACGTATTACTTACTTACTTTATTTTCTTGCAGTTGGTTATAATAGGTCTCCAATGTGTTTGTTTTTTCTTATCCCCTCCTCGTCCACCTATTTTGTTTGTTCCATTCTTCGCTTCTAAACTTTTAGGCCAAATTAAAAAAAAAAACATGTTTAGCGTCCTGCCGCTCAAAATGGCCTTTTAGTACATTTTTCCTGACCGTTGGGCTATTTTTCAAGATGGCCGCCAGTATTTTTTTAATTTTAAGTTTTGATTCATTGAAGAAGAAAACAATTATTTTTAAAAAATATCAAAAAAATAGGAGGCGGCCCCCAAAAAGGAAGCGGGTGGGGACGCTAAACATGTATATTTTGTTTAATGGCCTTAAAAACTGTATAATAAATGATAGCACTCACTGTGGTAATTCTATTCTGGCCAGATTAGTAAAAACTTCCAGAACATATTCTAAATAAATAATATTAATAAGACTAAAATGCTTGCGAAGTGCGAACAATGATGGTTTCATGACATAGGTTTTGCTCTAGACAATCTAGTCTAGACAGAAAAAAAGATAACCAACCCCCTTCAGTATCACTGTTACAGTGATACTGATGGGGGTCTGTTACAGTGACTGTAGTCTGTACCCAATTCCAAAACCCAAATGCACACATTGAAATGCTTTTTTTATTTGCTTCATGAAAGACACCATATTCAATTTCAAACAATCGGATTAGAAAAATGATTTTTCAGTAAAGTCATGAATTAAACGCCTAGCCAGAAGTATATTGAAGATTATAATCTAAATATCTTGAGGTTCTTAACATATTGGCGCTCTGAACTTCCAAAGCTGTGTCCAAGTATCCACACCGTAAACTGCGCACGTCGAGACATGAGCTGATCGAGTCGGCATGCATCGATGGGAATCCAGCTTAAAGCTCACGGCGCGACTCGGCAGGAAACTGACCCATCCATCGCTCTTCTTACCCGTGCCGAGTACTATACCGTCTACCCACTCCAGCAAAACATAGAGTCGAGAGTCCATGCCGTCTACCTAGAACTGATCCAGTGTCAGATAATGTTACCCTTCACTTTCCTTTCACTCTCTCTCTCTCTCTCTCATGCATTACACACTGACGCAAAAATATAGATTTTTATCCGTTTATTTAGATTTAGTTAGTACATTAATTATTTATAAGCCCTCACCTTTGGCGACTCTGTCTCTCAACGTGACTAAGCGGTGATATGACGTGAGCAAGCAGGTATGAATATTCATTAGCATGGGGGGCGCAAAGTTGACTCGATCGCCTGCTTCAAAATGTGGGTACAAGAAATGACCCATTACCAGGCACGTAGCCAGAGTTTGATGTTGTTTTTTTTGGGGGGGGGCACATATATGTAATCGATCGAGGTAAAAAAAAAGGGGGGTCTATAAAAGTTTAACCGATCTTGGATTATTTTTTTTTTCTGTTGAAGAAATAACATTTCGGAGATAGTGTTCTTTAACTCGCTCGCTCACAGTCGAAACGGGATAGTGTCAGACAGCGAGAGTTCTATAAATATCCTCTCATAATAATATAGTCATGGATGGGCAGAACATAACAGTGGCGGATCCAGGGGGCGGGGGCCGCCCCCCCCCCCCCCGGCAAAAAAAAAAGAAGGAAATAACAGGGTAAAGATATCAAAATATGCTCATCTAACCGTAATTAAATGCCTAAAACCCATTGACTTCCGGGGCTCCACCCCCTCGACCCCACCAGGGGCCCTAAAGCGGGCCCCTGCAAGCTTGTCTGGCCGTTATAAAATGCCTAAAACCCCTGAGCTTCTGGGGGCTCCGCCCCCTGGACCCAACGCCAATTAGTTACCTGCCAGTGTCACAAATAAGGTATAATTATGCTCATCTGACGTAATTAGATGCACAAGCCCTGAGCGTCCGGGGCTCTGCCCTCTCCCCCCCCCCCCCCCGAACCCAACCGATGGCCCTAAGGCGGGCCCCAGGATGCTCATCTGGCCGTAATCGATTGCCTAACACCCCTGAGCCTCCGCCTCCTGGATCCTACGCTAATTTATGACCTGCCAGTGTCACAAATAAGGTATAAAAATATGCTCATCTGACCGTAATTTATTGCCCAAAACCCCTGCGCCTCCGGGGGCTCCACCCCCTGGACCCCACGCCCATTCGTGACCTGCAAGTGTCACAAATAAGGTATAAAATTATGCTCATCTGACGATAAATAAACCCCTGAGCTTCTGAGGGCTCCGCCCCTGGACCACTGGCGTACCGTATGGGGGGCAAAGTGCCCCCTTGACGGGCTCCAGGGGAAAAAATGAAAAAGGGGAAAGAAAAGGAAAGAAAGGAAAGGAAAGAAAAAGAAAAAAGGAAAAGGGAAGAAAAAAAGGAAAGAAAGAGAAAAAAGGAAAAAAAAGGAAAAGGAAAGAAAAAAGGAAGAAGAAGAGAAAAGGAAGAAAAAGGGAAAAGAAAAGGAAAGGAAAAAAATGGGGGAAAAAAGACCATGGTCGTACGCACCAGGGGGGGGGGGGGCAGTTGACCCCAGATATTTTGAAAACGTACAGTTTTTTTTCCTGAAAATGTAGTGTAGGCCTCAGGCGCGTACGCAGGGGAGGGGGGGGGGTGGGGGTTAACCCCCACCCCCCCCCCCCCACTTGAGTGTTTTTTTTATGTGTATGTTTTGTGTATGTGTATTGGGAAACCCCCCCCCCCTTCCTTTTTTTTTTTATAAAAAAAAATAAAAAATAAAAAATATGCCAATGGCTGTGACCTTACCCCCCCCCCCCCAACGGAACACAATGTCAAATTTTCAAATTTTGAGACCAAAAAAAAGTGTCCGCTTACCTCTCGCCAAAAAGGAATTGAATCGCGATTGCGTCCATCCTGACCTGCACCAATAAAAACAAGTTTATTTATTAATTTCTATTAAAAGAGATTTTTTTTTTTTTTTTTTTTGCTTGCTCGCTATGCTCGCTCACCAAAATGGAATTGACACAGGTAACGTGCCCGCCCCAACCTGCAACAACCAGTTAATAATTATGTACCAAACGTTATTCAAAGAAGTTTTGGTGTGCTCGTGCTCCCCAAACGAAATTAACATCACCTTAGACATGATTGTGTAAGCCCTGCCCTGCAACAACAAAAAATCTGAAATTTATGAACCAATTATCATTACAAAAATTTTGCTCGCTCGCCAAAATAGAAATAACACCGCTTTTAATTATCACGTCCCTGACATGGAACAATGAACCCAACTTTTATGTATCATATTTTCCCTATAAAAGAGAAGTGATTTTTTCGCTCGCTAGCTCGTGGAATTATGTGCCCACCACTAACCTGCTACAATATCATTAAAAAGAGAAATATAGGGGGTTGCCTGCCCGCCAAAATGGGATTGACATTGCCTTAAACACGATTGTGCCCGCCCCCGACCTGCAACAATGAAACAAATTTTATATAGCAATTCATTGAGAGAAAGATGTATTTTCGCTCGCTAGCTAAAATGGGTATAAAATCGCCCTAAACACAATATTGTTCCCGCGCCCTGCATGATGGGACAATTAAACCAAGTTTAAGTGGCAATTATTAAAAAAAGAAGTGATTTTTTTCTTGCATGCTACGCTCGTTTGCAAAAAAAAAAAATTAACGTCGCTAACAAGTGAATGTTCCCACCCCAACTTGCAACAATACCAGTTTATATACCAAACGTTACTTAAAGATTTTTTTTTCGCTCGCTCGCTCGCCAGAAGTGAAAATTAGCATCGCCTTTTTTGTTTGTTTCGGTCGCTTGCTCCCCCTGACGGAGTACCCCAGGTACGCCACTGCCCTGGACCCATTTGTGTCCTGCCAGTGTAACAAATAAGGTTTAAAATCTGCACATCTGACAATAATTTTATGTATAAAACCCCTGAGCTTCTGGGGGCTCCGCCCGGCCTGGACCCAACACCAATTTGTGTCCTACCAGTGTCACAAATAAGGTATAAAAATATGCTCATCTGACAGTTATTTATTGCCCAAAACCCCTGAGCTTCCGGGGGCTCCGAATTCGTGACTTGCCAGCGTCACAAATAAGGTATAAAATATGCACATCTGACGATAATTTAATGTATAAAACCCCTGAGCTTCTAGGGGCTCCGCCCCCTGGACCCAACACCAATTTGTGTCCTGCCAGTGTCACAATTAAGGTATAAAAATATGCTCATCTGACCGTTATTTATTGCCCAAAACCCTTGAGCCATGCCAGTGTCACAAAATAATAAGGTATAAAATTATGCTCATCCGACGATAATTTGATGAGGGCTCCGCCCTGGGGCGGCGGAGTGATCCCCAAAGTGTCGGGGGAGGAGGGCACCAACAAAAAGGACACTTTCTAGTATAGAAAAAAGGGAACCTACAAAGGAAAATCTCAAACCGAAAATATCCAATTTTTTAGACGTTAGTACCATTATCGGGGATGATTTTAACATTTGTTTCTCTTTATACATCATACAAAATAATGCTAAACATCATACTTTGCCGTTGGGTGTTATGGTCTGAAAATTCATTTGGGAGCGCGCGAAGCGAGCAATGAATATTTTAAGACTATTTGTGAGGTCGCAGTGCGAACAATTACATCTTATGAAAAACAAATCCTGATGTTATTATCACATTCTTACAACGGGAGACTGAAAAGAACTTTGATAAGTAACAGAACTATATCATCTACAAATGCGAGCGAGCGTAGCAAGCGAGCTGTGGGGGACTGAAATTAAGCACGGATCTAGGGGCCGAGCGGACCCCCCCCCCCCCCCCCGCAAAAGAAAGGGAGCCGAGAGAGTAAGACCCCTGTTACAAAATACGTCTGAAAGTGGACTGAGGCCGGCCCCGGAGTCGGCTCGACGTATGTGTAACACCAACTTTTTTCGAAAAGCCGGACTGAGGCCAGGTGGACTCAGTCCACCTCTGGATGTGGTTTGAGGCCGGCCTCAGTCCCGCAATCGGTATGTGTAACACCAAAGTGGACTCGGGGCCGGCTTATAAGCGGAAGTGACGTAACCTGTCATCATTATCATCATAATACATCGGGCGCGCTTGCCACCTTCTCTTATGTTATTCTTTGTTTTTATCATTCTATCACTCTGTCTTTCTGTCTTTCTTTATGTTATTCTTTGTTTTTATCATTCTATCACTCCCTCTTTCTGTCTTTCCTTATGTTATTCTTTGTTTTTATCATTCTATCACTTTCTCTTTCTGTCTTTCCTTATGTGAAATGTTTTTATCATTCTATCCTGTCTCTTTCTGTCTTTCCTTATGTTATTCTTTGTTTTTATCATTCTATCGCTTTCTCTTTCTGTCTTTCCTTCTGAAGTTATTCTTTGTTTCTTCCTTCTATAACCTTCTCTTTCTGTCTTTCCTTATGTTATTCTTTGTTTCTTCCTTCTATAACCTTCTCTTTCTGTCTTTCCTTATGTTATTATTTGTTTTTTCCTTCTATAACCTTCTCTTTCTGTCTTTCCTTATGTTATTCTTTGTTTCTTCCTTCTTTCATCTTCTCTTATGTTATTCTTTGTTTTTTTTTATCATTCTATCACTTTTTCTTTCTGTCTTTCCTTATGTTATTCTTTGTTTCTTCCTTCTTTCGTATTCTCTTATGTTATTCATTGTTTTTATCATTCTATCACTCTCTTTTTTGTCTTTCCTTATGTTATTCTTTGTTTTTATCATTCTATCACTTTCTCTTTCTGTCTTTCCTTTATGTTATTCTTTGTTTCTTCCTTCTTTCATCTTCTCTTTATGTTATTCTTTGTTTTTATCATTCTATCACTCTCTTTTTCTGTCTTTCCTTATGTTATTCTTTGTTTTTATCATTCTATCACTTTCTCTTTCTGTCTTTCCTTATGTTATTCTTTGTTTCTTCCTTATATTACCTTCTCTTATGTTATTCTTTGTTTTTATCATTCTATCACTTTCTCTTTCTGTCTTTCCTTATGTTATTCTTTGTTTCTTCCTTATACCTTCTCTTATGTTATTCTTTGTTTTTATCATTCTATCACTTTCTCTTTCTGTCTTTCTGGAGTCCGCCCCAACATCAGCTCGTCAAAAGGCGACGTGAGGCCGGCCTATGTGTAGACGCAAAATTGCGGGCCCGAGATCGTGTGTAACAGGGGTTTGATGATCTCGAGGCGGCTTCAAATTGCAGGTGTGAGGCCGCCTCCGGGGCCCGCTTTAAAAGCCGACGCATGTGTAACAGGGGTCTTAAAAGAAGGGAAAGGGAAAGAGGAGAGAAAGGGAAAGAAAGAAGAGGAAGAAGAAAAGAAAAGATGTGAAAAGAATGAGATCGGAGGAACGAAAGGACCTTGCCTCCCAGGCTATTACCTCACTCACCCCCCCCCCCCCCCATCAAAAAAATAAGAAAGAAGGAAGAAAAGGGTAAGAAAAAAAGGAAAAGAGGAGATAAAGGGAAGGGGAAAAAAAAAAGAGGTAGAAGAAAAGAAAAGGGTGACAAAAAAGGGGAGATCAGTTGCGATTAATGCCGCCAAAAACGTGTGGATCGGGGGCGAAAAGCCCTTGTCCCCCCCCCCCATCAAACCTAAAAGAGAGAGAAGGAAGGGAAGGTAAAGGGAAAGAGAAGAAGAAGAGATCATTTGAGATTTTTCCATTATCATTATCCGAGTTAAAAAGGGGTAGTTATTGGAAGGGGCACGTGTCAAAAAATAGAGGGGCGCTTATCGGATGTGAAAAGGGGAAGGGCGCTTTTACATATTAAAAAGGGCATTTATTAAATTAAAAAGGGGCTCTTTTCCTATGTAAAAGGGAGCACTTTTGGGGTCCTGGAGAACATTGTGCCCCCCCCCCGGAGAGCTGCCTCTGTATAACGGTTACCTTTCTTATTGCATTTTTATAGTTGAATAAAAATTATATGCCAAAACTTTTTTTTTTTTTTTTTTTTTTTTTTTTTTTTTTTTTTTTTTTTTTTTTTTTTTTGTTCCTCGATCGCTCGCAGCACATCTCGTAAAATAGATTTTAAGGATGATTCCTGGCAACGAGATGACCGAAAATATATATTTTTATATTTTATCTGGTTTATATTGATGAAAAAATAACATTTTTACCGTAACTCAGTTTAAAGTGCATTTTCATTCTCGCAATATTTTTGCATATTTTGGGGCAAGAGGCCCTCAACGCCGGTACGCCCGGCCTCGATCATGTGCTCCTATACGTCTTTGAGTATAGGTATACCCTTTGAGTATGCCTGTGTGGGGGAAGAAACAAAGCCTCTTTGTCTTGTTTTTGATGAATTTTGGATTGAGGTCACACGAAACATTTAAACTCCTAAAACGGTGCCGTGAAGAGGAATAATAACAAATACAAAAGTTCACAAAAAAGAGCTGGAAACTGTTCACCAGATATATGGCTATAATATATATAGGCCCTACATAGGTCTACTATATAGGCAAAAGTGCCAACTGTCGGACTTCCTGAATTGAACCATAATATTTGTACATATTGGTTTGCCTACAAATAAGAAGTAGCCTAGCAAAATTACATGGTAGGATGGTAGGCACAATTTTATAATCCTTCCGTATATGCCTCAGTTTTTTTGTTTTATACGAATGGTTTACTTACCAGTTTACCACGTACCGCCCCCTCCACAAGCACACGCACACACTGTCTTAATTAGGGCCCATAGGCAGTTATAACCATGATGCAATTTTTTTCTAAACTTCTAAAGGCCACATCAGTTCTTTGTCAATGTGAATTTCTATACAATCATAATTATAATTTCTTGTTTTTTAATCGACTTTAGTACTTTGTCGTCTGCAACGAAACCTTTGACCTCGTATATCAATATGACCGCTCACCTGCAACTGCGTAGTATATTCATCCGCACTGTATTTGGTTTTTCATATTTTTATACAGAATATTTAGATCTGGAGATGAAATCATAGCTTTTGATTACAAATGACATTATGATCGATCTGAAGCTGATATTTTCTAATTTCAAAGATTTGGAACATTAAACAAATTATGAACTATGTTTTCCTTAAATACTATACTGGCAGCCGTGCTGCGCCCTCAGCCATTTTCGAGTTCAACGTTAGTGCAATGCGAATGCACATATTGACGATAGAATTTCCCGTAATCCTATCTTTTCTACAGATAATTGCATGTTACAGGTAGGATTTTCTTGGATTTATTGACATTAAGATACATGTTAATCGGTGTGTTTTGCTTGAAATTGTTTTATTATCATTCCTTTACCATGAAAATGGAGCCTTTCGGACACCGGTATTTATTTATTTTGAATGTTGACGATGGGCGCGACATACGTAGATGTGTGTGTGTGAGTGAGTATGGAATGGATTGATAGCGGAAGTTTCCTTTCGCAACACTGATGTTTTTATGGCATTTTAGTCGCATTTTCATTATTGTGAGAAAATAGGAAGTGAAAAACCGTCATTTTAACATTTTGGAATGTTAATCTGGTATTGATTATGTTCCTTTTCTCCTGAACTGTTTTAAATTTCTTGATAATAATCCCATCATTTCAAATCTAAAAATAGATCCCAACATGCATTTCAGCTAACGTTTATGACGTCACGCTTGAGGGAACCCCTCTGACGTAGAGAAGGGAAATCCCAAAATTACTGACGCGAACGTTAGGTGGACCATTTTGAAATTTGATGCACAGTTTGTAAACTGTTTGAGGATAAATAGTATCAGTATGCCTAACAGTTATTATTATGAAAGGGACTTTGCCTCAGATTCTTAACAGCTTGTGCTGCAAAATAGAAGTTCTAGACCGAATTTTTGTGTCTCTTTTGTTCGTTAGCCTCTGATTTGGGATTTGGGTAGGGTCGGCTCCGCTCTTTAGAGACAGAACAGACCCATACGCTTTAGTGTTCATGTTCTTTGTAACGTTTCTTTACATCAAACTTGGCCAAACTGATGCCTAATTTTGATATTTTACCGGATGCATATCCAATTTATTTTATATTGTAAATTAGGCCTAGGCAGTAGGCTACATCAGTTCCACTTAGCAACATGACTGAAATAATCTGTTAAAAGGTCCCTTTTGTTGGAAATTATGGGTCAAAATCGACATCCATGTTGAAAATCTTGCAAGCCGTATTTTAATTCTCGCTGCGCATGACGTCATCTAAATCTCATTCCTTCTAGTCTACCCCGAAGGCAAAATGATTATGAAGGAAAAACTGTGTGCGAGATACAAGCTCGTAATGACGTTATCACAGTTTTTACAATATATAATAAATCAGATATGCATCTGGTAAAATATCAAAATTAGGCATTAGTTTGGCCAAGTTGGTGTAAAGAAACGTTACAAAGAACATGAACACTGAAGCGTATGGGCCTGTTCTGTCTCTAAAGAGAGGAGCCGACCCTACCCAAATCAGAGGCTAACGAATGAAAGAGACAGAAATTTTTTGTCTAGTGCTACAAGCGCAATGATAATGCAATCATATTATTAGGGTCTAGCTAGGCCTAGACTATATTATAGACCCTATTCATAATCATATTCATAATTATAAACCTTTACTCTATTATTTAGGTCAGTCAGCACTCAGCAGGGTCAGAAATCCCATGATGTTTACAATTACATGTCGATCGCCTGTCTGATTAACCAGATATTTATGATTGGAATTAAACATTTCAAAAACCGTTTTCCCCAACAGTTTTTATAACACTACGTCTACAGTCTATTGGATAAATTATGAGTGGTGTAACCGGTCACTCAAAGATTTTTATATTTTTGAGGCACTTCATGATCGTTTTGAAACAAATTTTGTATATACTATAGGGCTTCCATATTCTTGCACCATATCATAGACACTGATAAAATGTAGGGCATCTCAGATTTAACATTGTTAAACGATGCCTTTAAAGGTAAAGACCAGTATATTGGAAACGCCCCAATTAAAAATGAAATGGAAGCTCTTATACCAATATGTGAAGGAATATGTTTTGACTAAAACAAGATGATAAACATTTTGCAGGGAAACCGCCTACTAGTTGATATATTTGGTAAATTAGTTTATCTATTGGTGTGTGAGATATAAACGCATGTGTCCGTAGTCCCATATACATGTACATCTTTCTGTGTACAGTAACTACAGTGCTTGTAACTTTACGAAGACTGGGCCAAATTTCTTGTCATTTTGATGATTCCAGAACCTTGCAGTACACACCAATACTTATATGCTAGATGATCAACCTTTTCTGATCGATTCCACGACGTTTCTTTCACAATGCAATCGCACGACCATAACTGGTCTTTATCTTTAAAATTTAATGGTATTATGCAAAGTTTGGGGAAATTTTGAAATTTGGATGGATAGTAATTCTTTAAAATTTTGATATATTTGGATGCCTCTGTGGATGTATTATTAGCGCTAGAATATCTAGCCCCTACAACACTTCTGCTTTTGAGAAATTGAATGCAACATTTACCAGTGCTCCCGGTAAATTTTAAGTAATCTGAATGGCGCCTTACATGTAGGCCATTCCATGATCGCTGTGACTATGAAAATCTCAGAATATGCAGTTCTGAATTCTGATACATAATTTCAAAACGGGAATAGCAAATCGGTCGATTGTAGTCAAGGAACATTGTTTTAAAGCTAATGTATTATCAGTCTTGAGAGGAAGCTACATGTACCTATACAACATAAAGAGTTTATTACGCACTCTGCACTAATCAATCGTGACCACTATGAGAGACACCACACCACAATATCGTTGTTTAGTTGCTGAAAAGGCTTTCGACGAGGTGGGCAACGATGTTATGTTCTCTTACTTTATCCATCATTATTTGAATCTTTATTTCATCTTTTACGTTTCACAGAAAGAGGGGATGACTGAGCAGAGATGGTAGTTGGTAGAGGGGCCTCTTGTCCCGGAAGAGGCCCCGCATGTAGCTCAGGGACAAACGCCAGAGACTTGGCAATCGAACAACGATGTTTTGTTCTCTTACTCTATCCATTATTTAAATGTTTATTTCATCATTTACGTTTCACAGAAGGAAAGAGTGATTGAGCAGAGATGGTAGTTGGTAGAGGGGCCTCTGGTCCCGGGAGAGGCCCCACGTGTAGCTCAGGGACAAACGCCAGAGACTTGGCAATTGAACAACGATGTTTTGTTCTCTTACTCTATCCATTATTTAAATCTTTATTTCATCTTTTACGTTTCACAGAAGGAAAGAGTGACTGAGCAGAGATGGTAGTTGGTAGAGGGGCCTCTGGTCCCAGGAGAGGCCCCGCATGTAGCTCAGAGACAAACGCCAGAGACTTGGCAATCGAACAACAATGTTTTGTTCTCTTACTCTATCCATTATTTAAATGTTTATTTCATCTTTTACGTTTCACAGAAGGAAAGAGTGATTGAGCAGAGATGGTAGTTGGTGGAGGGGCCTCCGGTCCCGGGAGAGGCCCCGCGTGTAGCTCAGGGATGAACGCAAAAGACCTCGCAGATAACGATGACCTCGCCACTAGCCTTATACTTGACCCCTACCTCGAGTTCACCACACACAAGATGAACACTAGGTAAGTAATTTATTCAACGCTGCCCATGTTCCTTTCACGTCATGACATGAGTTTTCAATTTGATAATGAAAAGTTTCTTTTTTACTTTGTTTAATTTTTGAAGATACATAATTTTTCATCTTTTTATAATCTAACCATTCTTCAGTAACTTTGATTTCTTTGAAATGAAATCATTGTAGCTATCACGTCGGGTTGGTTGTCTCTTAGATTATTTGTCCCGACATGAATAATGACTTCTGTAACTGCTTGATCTTTGGCAATTTGTGTTGCAATGTCACATACATGTATGTCTTCAGCTTTCGCTCCAGGGAGTGTTTAACAGGAAATTTGTTTGGAGCGATACAGTTTAAGGGGTTTATTTTACGAAGCATTGAGTCTCAATCAACAATACTTCAGCCTTTTGTGTTTTTTTCCTGAAGAGCTTAATCCGTTTATTCCTACATGTACATGTATAGTCTTGAAGTTGATAAGTCACTGTTTTTGTGGTTTTGTTCGGAGTTTGGTCATTTCCACTTTCATCCATCTGTAGATTTTCAATTGTTGTCTGAGGCACTTGCTCGTTCATTGTTTCCCTGCTGTCGGTGGCTACGGGTCATTCACCTTTCGTTCCCGGGTAGGAGGGGCATTGCTTGTCTCTTTTTCTTTCGGTTGACATTCACTAACATTAGAGGAGCTCCTCTCATTCTGCATTTTCCGCTTGATTGTGTTCTCGCATTCAATCTTTTCACTATTCCTCGATTCTGGAGTTGGATTAACTTGGGCACTCATATTAATGTCAATTAAGGATAGTTGGTATTCAATAGAATCCAGTCTCTCTGGAATTGCCACTCATCGTTCACACAGCGGCTTACCATAATCGCTCTCTGTAGGCGATCCACACCAAATGCATAGAGGGCTTTCATGAACGTCGATATCTATCAAACATTCTATTGTTTGCGATTTATTCATGCATTTGGTCAAACTATCATCTTGTTCAACATGGCTGTGTTCTTCCTTGTTTCCAATGTAAACATCAGATATTAAGTTTTCATCGATACCAACTGTAAGGGAAAAGTTTTTGGAGATATTTTCCTCTAAGTTTGGGAGAATGCGGCACAATTCACATTCAATGAATTCAGTTTCATTTGTGTCCTTTCCTTGGTTAAGTTTCGATATGCGAAGGTGGGAAATAGCTATTGATAGGCTCGATTTCGTAATATGTATGTATTTGGGCAACTTGTATTTAAAGTTTGGATGTCCTGGTATACCCTTACATGTGTTCATCGTAAGTTGCTTAGCCATGATTTATCAATATCATATACGTACATAGTTCAAGTAGAAAAAAAGAAGATATGGTCAAATAAATTTCTCACCATATAGGCATTTCATCGACCTATCTCAGTTTCAATGACGTCAATATCCCCCGTTACACAGGTTCGGACTATGGTGATATCCAATCATTCGAACAGAGTGTAATCACAATAGAACAGCTCAAACACAAAACACTATTCCAGAATGAATATTCTTCTAATCGAGGAAAACTTCCAGTTCATTTTCAAACTAATAATTGAGGTCTCTCTGGCGTTGATATATTCACAAAATGTGTCCTCTTATGAATGTTTTCCTTCCAACAAAGACGAAACTTAACTGACAAATTTTATCGGCTGATGTCGCACGACTAGTATACATGTATCTCTCATCGCTCCATATATTTATGTATGAAACTGCATATTTTTACAAGTTTTTTAATACAAAGATGGAATCTAAATGAAATGAATTGAATTGAATTGATTCAGATTTCGGCCCGTGACAACACGCACAGAGCATTTGCGTTACGTCTTACGAATGTTCAAGGAAGACGAGAACTATGACAAGGCCTACAACAGGCTCATGGCCTCAGGAGACTGGGCTAACGTTTTCCTCTCCAACAAGTCAAAGCTTCAAGTACAAGTATTCAAAGAACATGTAAGTCACCAGTCTGGAGCTTAGAGAGTAGTGTACGCTTAATAACACTTGATAATTTGCCCTTTCCCCCTCAAACTATACCACCAGGGGAGTGTTTCACAAAGACTAAGATCGACTTTAAGTTGGATTTAACTATGGCAGGCTGTTCATACCACTAGTTCCTCTAACCATTCCTCGCATCAGTTTTTGAAAGGACATACAAATCATGTTCACAAACCTACAGAATTTACATGTTTTAATAGTTCATTATTGAAGGAAAAAACATTATCTAAAGATCATAATGGTGAGAGCAAACAGTGGCATGAATGGCCTGCCATAGTTAAGTCCAACTTAAAGTCAGTCTTAGTCTTTGTGAAACACTCCCCAGGTGTGATAAGACCAAAACATGCTAACTGCTTACAATGATGAATATAGATACCGGTATGTCATATAATATTACATTGTGTATATCAAATAGATCTTTTCTACTTTTCATTACCGGTAAATGACTTCATAATTTCCTAAATTATTTTGTAGGTGCAAAAAGCGTCTCTTGAAATGGATATTGTGTGCTATATGTTGTCAATATTTTTATTTCCATTATTATTATTATTATATTCATTATTATAACAATGATTGTTACTAATACATGTATATTCATTATTAGTATTATTAAAGATAAACTTGAGTTCTGGTAAAAAAAAGAAAATGAATTCTCACAGAATCTAACGAAACTTACACTGAATGTTCAAGATTACAAATAAATGTCATGTGCCAAACAATTTTGGAAGAAAATGTATACTGGCTGAGTAATGAGCATAGAAAGATAAGGAAATCAGGGTAGTACTAGCCCTGACACCATGTGTGTTGTCCCATATACATCTTTCTGTTTAAAGGGGAAGTCCACCCTGAAATTAAGTTAGTTTTAATAGGAGTAGAAAAATGAGAGAAACAAGTCAGTGAAAGTTTGAGCAAATTCCGATTAAAAATAAGGAAGTTAGGATTTTTGAAGTTGTGATCAATCAAACACAAATTGGCAACTCTATGACGTATCATGCGAGCTCAACTTCCATTTGCTCAGTACTAAAAAAATCTAAAATTTTCATTTTCCCTCGAGAAAAATTTCAACCATACATGCACCCTAAATATATTAATTGCAAATATGTTTCTATACTCCCCCTGCAAGGAACAAATATATATTCCGTCATCAATAACGAAGAAAACATGATTTTATGGAATATTATGCACAAAGCAAATGAAGGAGAGCTCGTATAATAAGTCACAGAGTTGCCAATTTGTATTTGATTGATCACAACTTCAATAATTCATAACTTTCTTATTTTCATTCAGAATTTGCTCAAACTTTCACTCACCTGATTTTCTTATTATTCTGCCTCTATCGAAACAAACTTATTTTGGGGGTGGACTTTCCCTTTAAGTGATTGTTACTTTACCAAGACTCTGCCAAATTTATGATGATTTTGATGACTCCAGAACCTTGCATTACACACCATTACTTACATACTATATGATCAACTTTTCTGATCCATTCCACACCTTTTCTCTCACAATGGTGAATGCAATCACATTACCAGAACTCAAGTTTATCTTTTATCTTCTAATACTCTTTTCTGTATGATTATTTTACAGGTATTCCGTTACCTGGGTATGTTTGACACAGACGCTGGTTTTGAGATTAAGCCTTGCTATCGATATTCACTCGAGGGTGAAGGAGGGAAGATTGTGACGACATGTCACTGGTAAGACATGGCTTCCTAAAAGATTTATTAATTTATAGACACCAAATTTGTTTTGAGATTAAACCTTGATTTCGATATTGACCGGAGGGTGCAGGAGAGAAGATTGTGACAACTACATGGCTTCCTAAAAGATTTATTAATTCATAGATGCCAATTATGATGTAAATAACTTTTTTTGAAAACGGTGATTTTTAAACCTTCCAACATGTTGCAATTTTAAGATTTTAAGGCTTGTTTTCTTTTTGATATTCTTCCTTCTTCTTCTGGTAATCTTCAAAGGGCTATGCAGCTGATCACACACATCTGTAGAAAGATTACCAGTTTTGAATAGCGTCAAACACAATGCCATAGAACAAAAGTTGACACAAGATGTGCAGAAATCTTTGCCCTTTATTTTTATGCGTCTGGTACAGTCAAACCTGGTTAAGTGACCACCTGTCATCAAAGACCACCTGTCTACAAAGATCACATTTTTTGTTTCCCTTGAAAATGGTTTCTCGATGAAACCGACATACTTAAAGAACCTGTCTGTAAAGATTTCTTTTCTTGTTTCCCTTAGGGCAATTCCACGGTAACGGAAGGACACTCAGACAAGATTTTTGAACTTCAGGTTCATACTAAAAGAAATGTTTTATTAGTATGTATTAAACTATGGGGAACAAAATGTGTTTCAGTCAAGTGGAAAGCTTCATCAACTTCACAAAGTTTGGATAAACACTAATTAACTGGAAAAACCATGTCCATTTTTATGTCCTTCCGTTACCGAGATAATTAATATGCACATTCTTAAACTACTTAACTATAATGACAATTTTTTTGGGGAGAATTAAAGGCACTTATATAGGTATTATATCTGTACTGTTTCACATCTTATACTAATAAAACAGTTCTTTTAGTATGAACCTGAAGTTCAAAAATCTTGTCTGAGTGTCCTTCCGTTACCGTGGAATTGCCCCTTAGGTGTTTTTATAGAGAGGTTCCCCTGTATATGTTAGGGCTCTTAATGAGAAGATGCTAAGCCTAACCACAAATTGAAAAATGGCTGTCCCAAAATTAGCTGACGTAATCAAGAGATAATACACCGTGATTGACAAGTGGATTTTCTGCTCTTTTACAACAGGTCCAAGCACGAGAAGATAGACAACTTGGTAGGCTGTATTGCCGAGCTGACAGAGTTTGAGGAGAACACTTTCCTCAAATCGGGAGAGAATGATTTCAGCATCATGTTTTCAATGAGGAAGAACTGTGCCCAGCTGTGGCTTGGCCCTGCGGCCTTTATCAACCATGGTAAGTGCGGCCAAGATCATGTTGTCCTAAAATGATATTTGCTCCAGGTTTTACTTACCTTTACTTCAAGGTATTAAAGGTACTATGTCCCTTTTGCAGCCAACCTCAAATTCTGTAGAACTATGAACTGCAGGAATTATGAATATGTCATGTATGTCCTTTCTGTGAAATTTAAACGTTAGCAGTGTCCTCATATTCAAATTATGCAAGGAAACCCGTTTACTTGCTAGACTTCACTGTCAGACACTATTGAGTGACTGACTGGCTTTTTTTCTTCTTTGGTAATAACATACATGAAAAGAGTTGTAAAGGGTACATAAGCATTTGTCTACATCAATAACCCACTTCTTGTGATGGCCAAGATTAAACTGATTGAGTCTTTGCGCAGCATAAAACGTATGACCATTCGGTACAATTGTCTGAAAATCAAGACTATTACTTTTGGGCTCTATAGCCCTAAAGTCGATTTGACAACTAATAGTCGTTATTTTCCCACTTGAAGACATTTTCAAGCCCCACCTTTTTTAGGGAAGTTCTAAATTAGTATTATCTTTCAAATGCAGTTGGAATTTAACTTTTTCATTTTTTTGGCCTGCAAATGGGACATAGTACCTTTAAGTAACTTTGCTTCTGATTCTAAACAAAATCCTGGATTTTAATAGCTCATGCTGCAATCATAATTATAAATCTTTTGGTCAGAAATGAATCCCATGACTTTTACAAGCCAAATGCATGTTTGATTATCAAGATATTTATGATTGGAATTAGACATTTCTAAAATCGTTTTCCTCAATGGTTTTTTATAACACTACAGTCTATTGGGGAAAATGAGTATGGTAAAACCGGTCACTCAAAGATTTTTACTTTTTTGAAGCACTTCATGATCATTTTGAAGCGCATTTTTTGTAGGGTTTCAATATTAGACCATATCACAGACACTGATAACACGTTATGAACAAAATGTAGGGCTATGCATTGCAGATTTGTTAAACTGGAAACAATGTTAAACAATGGCTTAAGTTACCATTAAGTTTGCGATCAGATTTTACATGTGTATTAGGGTTTGCGTTGATCATTATACATGTAGGTCCTCAACAGAAAAAGACCCTCCATTTTGTAAAAAGTTGTTTGACACTACGTCACAGCGAAGCTACTGATTCAGCCAATTTGATGTGCCCCTTCGTATAGTATAGTGATTCAGCCAATTTGATGTGCCCCTTCGTATAGTATAGTGATTACAACTTTCATAGCATCGTAACTTTCTATTTTGAATTTTCTCATTGAATTTTTCACCAATCTACTTGTTGTTATTTTTCTGCTTTCTTTTCAAGGACTTGTCTATTAAGGGCATTATTTAACAATGCAAAATCTGAAATGCATGTTATCAGAGTCTGTGATATGGTGTTATATTGAAGCCCTTTAAAAATTGTGCTTCAAAATGATCATGAAGTGCTTCAAAAAAGTAAAAATCTTTGAGTGACCGGTTTTTCCATACTCATTTTCCCCAATAGACTGTAGTTTAATCAAAACCGTTGGGAAAAACATTTTTTTGAAATTTTTAATTCCAATTATAAATATCTTGATAAGCAAAAATGTGATCGGCTTGTAAAAGTCATGGGATTCTGACTGACCTTAAGGTTTACAATTATGATTGCAGCACGAGCTAAGTCCAGGATTTTGTTTAGAATCTGAGGCAAAGATACCCAAATCCTTTAAGTTAGGATTTTCCTATAAAAGTTCTCATCAAAGTCATTATTATTACAACATGTTCTAATGATTCTACATGTAATAAGAAAAACCTACAGATTTGCTCCCTCTCTTGTTTCTTATTGGTTCTTCATTTTTTTTTTGTTTTTTTTTGTTGTTGTTGTTGGTTGTTTAAATTTCTTCTCGATCAGTAATTATCACTTCATTTTATTTTCATGTCATTGGTTTTATGCATCTGCTTTCTCTATCTCTCTGTCTCTCAGATTGCCGTCCCAACTGCAAGTTTGTGGCCACAGGGCGCGACACAGCTTGCGTTCAGATCTTGCGGGACATAGAGCCGGAGGAAGAGATCACCTGTTACTACGGAGAAGACTTCTTCGGGGAGAACAACTGCTACTGCGAGTGTGAAACTTGTGAGAGGTAAAGGCCCAAGCATCAGATCGTAAATGTATATCTTTTGCGACAAGCATTCCACTTTTAAGTGTCCTTAAGATATGGCAGATGCATGAGGAGAAGGTGCATACATTTTTGCACACATATATTCCATATTTGTTTCTTGACTATATTGCTTTAAAATATGCTCTAAAATCCTTTAATTGTCAACATTTATGTTGTTTTCAGAGACTTTACATTTCATTTAACAATGTATCAATACGAAAAAATTGATTATTGTTGCCAATTTGAAGAACAATATGTGCTTAATTTAGCCCTTAAAAAAATCCTGTCCTGAACAGGTTTAAGAGTTCTCCCAGGAACTGTAATAAATGTAAATGTAGGTTATCATTACCTCTTTTTCTCTCTCTCTCGTCTCTCTCTCTCTCTCTCTCTCTTTTCTCCTTCTCTTTTTTCTCTCTCTTTCTTTCTCTCTCTCTCTCTCCTTTCCGCTTTGTTTTTCTCTCTCTTTCTTGCTCTTTATCTCTCTCTCTCTCTCTTCCACTCCTCTCTTTCTCTCCTCTCTTTTTCTCTTTCTCTCTCTCCTTCTTTCTTTCCCTCTCTTTCTCTCTCTCTTTCTCCCTCTCTCTTTCTCCTCTCTTTCTTTCTCTCTCTCTCAGACGGCAGAGTGGTGCGTTCACGCCCAAGGACTCGCCGGACAAGAAAAAGGAAACGCCAAAGTACAGTCTCAGGGACACCAACAAGCGCATCATGCGACTCAAGAAGCAGAAAAAAGCCACCGGTAAAGAACAGAACAAGCCACCAAAGCACATCCTACATAGAAGCGGTAAGCCAATAATCCGACCTCGTACCTCGATATTGATGATAATGATAATTTTCTTTATGCAGGGTAGCCTCATCTGCATCAGTGCTTTTCCTCACGAGGGTCCTGCAATTACTATTACCCCAGCAATTGCCAGGTACCTATTTACACCTGGTTAGAGAGTGGCCAATGTGGATTAATGCCTTGCCAAGGGTGTTTGTGTCGGGCTGGGATTCGGACCCTCATGCCTTTGATTGAGAGTCGAGTGAATGAACCACAAGACCTCCAGAGTGGTCTATTTGGTTCTACAACTGACGTCCATGGCGAAAGAAGCTTCATGGGCATTTTCTTAAATCAAATTGCTAAGCTTCTACTATGGACAAACCCTATACCTTTTCTAAACCTAACCCGAACTCCATCTCAACCCTCGCCCTAAATTTCTATTAAATCACATTGAAAGTATCTACATATTTTATTGTCTGTAGAAAACAAAGCTTGTCCTGAATTTTAGAATATCTTTACTCTGAATGTAATTCTGCACAATTGGCTACTAACCACTTGTAATATAAAGAGAAGTCAAATAAAAGATAAATCATTAGATTAAGTGTTTTAAACGAAAAAACCCATGTCAACTTTATATAACCGTAAAGGGACTTGGTAACATTGTTCAGATGAGAGATGGTGATGCTAAGGTAGTGAATTCAATGCTAGATGTACAAATAAAGATAATCTGAAAATTTAAGTGAAAACGGACCATTATTCATGGTACAAATTGGGAAAAACTGATCTGATCGATTCCTTAATTCTCCCAACTATATTTTTACAATTTAATTATATTTTAGGTGAATGTAAATCTTCACTAAACAATAAAATGGCTCTACATTCCATTCCAGCCAGTTAAGTGATGACAGATTTTTTATAGCCTGTTTTATGTTTTTTTTTTTATGGAAAAACGGTTGGGAAAATTTTTAAATGGTTGGGAGAATTTACTCGTAATCACTGTTAGAGGGTGTCGTACATCGACGCCTTCAAAGAAAACCATAGATATCTTCGTGGTTTGAGAATTTTTTGAAGATTTTTTGCATGTCAGAGGGTTAGTACAGTAGAAGGAATATAGTAAGTAACATTTTGTACACAAAATAAGCAATTTTTTTCATCAACCTTCAACAATGTTACCGAGTCACTTGTGGTATTTCCTAATTGCAGATTCAGAAAGCAGCCTGAGCTCAACAAATAGCAACACGGTAACTTCATCCAAACAAGTACTAAGCACCAAGCCTCGTTCTAACCGACGCCCTCTGTCCCCGTCAAGGACAACCAATGAGGCTCTAGTCGACATCCTAGCTGAGCAGAAATGCCTCTCAAGATGCGATGCTGAACTCATGCTAGCCGAGGGCTACAAGGTCAGGGGTTCAAACCCCATCCCGATAAAGGATGCAAAGGTCCTCCTCACACCGCACAAGTATGATAAAGACACAAGAGTTCTGGTAGCTGGTGGTAGTGGACGATCGTTGCGAAGCCGACGGAAACTCGAGGACGTCATTGGACCAGCCAGTAGGCAAAGAAGGGATAGGCAATCAGGAAGGACTAGAAACTCCCCTTCTCGTGTCCAGAGGACTAAAGAAACAAACGTGGTGAAACTGTGCAGCCCTGCTGGACGCCAGGAATCCGTTGCTTTGCGCTCACCTTTGCGTCGTTCAGGCAACGAGGATGGCGCCCCAGTGGCGGTTGCAACGGAACTGCATGTCGACACCCACGACCGCTCAAGGAAGAAAGTTGTTCTCCTCTCGCAATCATTGCCTCGATCACGGAGGATGTCCGTATCCCCATCATCAACTGTTCATTCGTCCTCATCTTCGCCATCTTTTAAACCATCGACACCCTCGCGAAAATCGCCATTGTCTAGAGCCGCGGTATCGCCTGTAAGGACGTTATCATCTCTTCTTTTAGCTCCATTGACCCTGACAAATAGGACTATGTCAAACTCTATACTCGCAGAGACCAAGGCTTTTTCCAGTCATAGCATAGATGTACCAACAGTCAAGCTAAAAGAAGAGATCAATTTATCATCAAACTCTCAGTCGAATGCAGCGAGTGCAGGCACTTGGGGTAGGACAAAAGACGATGATGATGATGATGATATCTTTATTGTAGTCGACGATGATGACGATGATACCGATGATGATTATCTTGACGCTGTGGAGGCGGTGTACAGTACGCCTAATCATGTAAGTCCGTCACCGAAGACCCTTGGATGTGAATTCACCGAATTGTCGGACGGAGGGGGTACAGCTCAGGAAAGTATGGGACATGAGAAAAGGAAATCGCAGAAAGTGACACAGAAACGGATAATGACTTACGAGTCTAGGATTTCTGAATGCAAGACAAAGTTGACGATCCGTGGAATACCCCAACTGGTATCACAACCTGTAGAAAGTTCATTGAACCCCAAATCGAGGGGACAGTGCAACGGGGAAGTCCAGAGCGAGAGCGCAAGCTTAGCGAAGAACGCGACATCTGCCAGCCAGATGAGAAGAAGCCGCAAGAGGCAGATGACCAAGTCGGAGGACACGACCAGTTCTGGAGGTCCCCCAAGAATGAGTTGAAACCCAACCTGTTGAAGGTGCCGCGCCTTAAGATCCGTGTGAAGGACCCAAACGGTGACATCGAGGAGGTCGTCACGTCATCGTCGGACGAGGAACGCAGTCCTCATCTGCATCAGGGCATCGTCAAAGAAGCTGTTGATTCAGTAAGTCCCAAAACAACCCTGTCCAGAAGGTCCCCTGGAAAGAAAAACAACGTGCAAAATCCCAAGAAAGAATCCCGCAAGCAATCCACCGCAGGTAGTCCCGAAACCGAACCGGACACGATGGTAGAGCGTAGAATCTTTCAGCCCAAGAATGCGCCTGCTCCTTTCCAGCTTCCCAATTTGATCACGGCAGGTTGCCATGAAGAGAGACAAGAAGAGGTCTCATCGGAGTCCATATCGCCGCCCGTACTCCCCAAGATCGACGATGACGAGGATCTCATCATCGATGTCGAGGACGAGTTTGACATTCCGCTGCCTCCGCTGGAACCAGAAGGACCTGGCCTCTTTGCGTCCTCTGAAGCCATGCCCCGCGGCATCGAGACGCAGAGGGTGCGCTTCAAGTTCGGTCAGGAGTCTATGCAGTTTCACATGCCCAAAGGAGATGGTATCTCATTCCCATGTTGAACAATCTCATTCAGTACCTTATTGCTAATTTGTTGTAACTTATTCATTTGTAGGTTTATGACTATTTCTATGATCCTTTGTATTCACTCAACTGCAGGTTTTCGGCAATTCACGTTAATAGAATAGAAATTAGAATAAGATCAGAAATATGGGTGGGGGGGGGGATCTTCTTTTTTCCAACAATTATTTTGTTAACACACCATATCAAAGTACTTTTAGCAGTTATATAAGTCTGTGTGTGTGTGAGTTTTCATCTGGTTAGCCAGGAAAATAATTATGACAATTAATCATGTACCATATTGATACAATTTACAGTAGTCCTACTTGTACTGCAAGGTAGAAACAGAAAAGGCCTGACTTATTGTTCTGTTTAATTTCACTCTGTTTCGACTTTCGCTCCTTCCTCTTCTCTTTTTTGTTTTACAGTTATGTGCAATCTTAAGTAACTAGAGTAAATTCTTTTGTAGGTAATTGGTAATATGGCTTTGTGTTGTTGTTTTTTAAGTGTATGAAGACTACCAAAATTCTTGAATAATGGCGTGTTTGGCCGAGGTTTTTTTTATTTCAAAAGATACATGTAGATTCGAGTATAAAATATCTTTTTCTAACTTCTAAAAAAAAATAGTATGTTTCTGGATTATATGCGGAAGAAATAATCTCTAGGTGATTTATTTCGCCATGATTTTTTCAGAAGAAAACATTGAATATTGTCACCAATAATAGAATTAACATGTATTATTACGCTATTCATGCAATTTTCTCTTTACAGTCCTGTTTACAGCTCCGGGAGTTCCCTCCTTCCCCCCTCCCCCTCCCAGTGATTTTTAACAAGAAATCATTACATATGGTCACCAATAATAGAAATTACATGTATTGTTATGCTATTTTTGCAAAGTTGTCTTTTTCAGTCCACTTGAAAATTCCGCCCCCCCCCCCCCTTCCCTAGAAAAAACGCTGTAGAGCTTGACCTATTCAGGTTTGCATTTGCCAAAAAGGGGGAAACAAGACGATAAACCATTGAGGTTCATATTGCAGCTGTATTGTCGGTATGTGTGTATTCTCTCTATTGTATTTTCATACTGACCAGTACTTTTATGTGAAGGAAAGGAAGTGCATTTGATTATTCTGATTGGATGAAAAAACATTCAAATTTGAACAATCAGAAGAAAAAAATGTACACAATGATGAAAAATTATGGTGTAAGATGAAGTAACTGGTTGGGGGAAGAGAGTGAATGCCATGTAATCTTGGAAATCGCCCTGATTTATCCCAGCTTAAAAAATAAAATGAATAAAATTGACATACACAGCAGTGTTTTACAGATACATTAAAACCTGTCTATAGAGACCACTCAAGGGAAACAAGAGAAAGTGATTGCTGTATACAGGTGGCCTTTCTATACAGGTTCTACAGCATTCATTTCTTTTTGTGACAAAATACATGGCCACTATCGAGAGGTGGCCACTATAAAGATAGGTTTGTCTATTTGTTTTAAGTTTCATGGTAAATAATCCAGATGAAGCTGTTATTGGTCTTGTCTGTTTATCAGTTTGTACAATATACTGTTGCTATGTCAGGCATAGGTTGTGCTAATTAATATAGGACTGATTAATGATATCTGATCCCTGTAGTTTTGGAGTACATTTTGATAAAGCATGATGTTACCATCAAGACTAGTAAAACCAAAATATGAAAATTGGTAATCAAATTTTACTGCACTTTTTTGCCAAACTGATCTAGCAACACTTTTCTTGTGCTGTATAAGTGTCTTTAGAGTTTTTATATTAAAGCCCGTCTGCACTAGTTTGGCTAGGGGGATTAGACCTCCCTGCAAGGTCACTAACAGGTGGTTATCTCATCAAATCAGCTCTCAATTAACACAAGAAAAAGGGGATCATGGGGGACCAACAGGCACAGATTACCCATTGTTTGCTATATAGAGGGCGCAAGAGGCTATAATTGGTGCAGTAGGGATTTAAGACAAGTAAATCTGATCTTAGGAAAATATAATTAATGATTTTAGTATCTGTTGTTTGACACGGCTGTGATAGCAATGTTTCCACAACTTAAGCTAGATTAAAATACAATTTATTGTTACTTGTACAAACTTCAGACCAACTAGCTTCTGAATTAAATTCGGGTATAAACATTTAACATGTAACATTTTGCTGAAAATGGACATGTATAAATGAATTTTTATATTTTTGAGGATGTTAGGAAAAAGAATTATGCATTGGCAAATATTTCCTCTAGCTGCGTAGCTGACGGATACAACATAGAGAATAAAGAAGTGTTATTTTTGATGGTATTGGATCATTTTGGATGCGAATTGACGTGAGGGGTGTGTACAATAATAGTGTATCACTGCTAGATATAAATGTTTTGTAAATTATAATACTTGTTATTTTCTGAATACCTTTTTTTTTTCCTGTTTGAATTTAATCTTGTTGATGAACAAGTTAATGTTAGTCACTCCTGGATTGGAATTAATACACTTTATTTATTTTCAACAAAAGAAAAACAAATGTGTCTTGGTGTTTTTTTTTCTTCATGTATTCGTATTTTTAAGCATTTACAGAATGACATTCCAGAGAATTTTCAGTTTTGAAAAAACAAACATTTTAAACACATGAATAAATATCATCGGCGTTTTAAACCGACGAATTCGTCATTTATTTGACTGTATGGATTTGTTAGTATACAAATGATGCACAGGTTTGAGTGCGTCGGTAGGGATTGTGTGCACAAGGTACCTTTGAATGGTTTTAGACCAAAGTCATAGGTACCACGTGCACACAATTCCACCGGCCCACGAATTAAACCTGTGCATCATCTGTTTTATAAGATGGGGCCCCCAAAATTGTCAAAAATACAAATTATTTTACAGATTTACCGGATGCATGGCAAAATCATGCGTCCGGCAATTTTTTTTACCGGACGCATGATTTTTAACTTATGAAATTAAAAAAAAATATTAAAAAAATTGTCAGTGCACATTAAACTGTAAACAGATTATAAACAGATTATAATTATCAAAAAACACGAAAAATAAATAATTATCACCAAAAAAAAAAAAATTATCAAAAAAATCATTAAAAACAAAATTATATTAAAAAAAAATTTAAAGAATTTTTTTTGTTTTTTTGTTAAGGATATCGGGGGTATCGATCGCCGATATCGCGTGCATCCAGTAAAAATAATTACATGGTAATTGACCAATCAGATTGCAGGGATTCTTCTACCCATCTTATAATTCATATTAACACGGACGATATGTACACTGATATGTGGTACTTATTTATTTATGATATTAATAAAATATTGAAATTTAAATAGCAAGAATCATGGGACTAAAAAATGTCATTCCACAACAAAAAAACAACTTCAGTATTTCATAAATCGGACGAATGATTGATAGTAAACTCAAATTTTGCAAGTACTTGTAATCTTGTCATCCGTTTTTAGATTTTTAAAATAAAATATGTATATATTCTTTACTGAAAATTAAAAACTCTCTGGATTGAGACACCCCCTCCCCTCCACCACTATGATCCACTATCGTTACATTTTCTTCCTGTGTTGCTCAATCAAATCAAATCGGTCAAGTGTGTTGGATATATCCCCCATGACAATCTCCCTCTCTCTCTCTCTTTCTCTCTTTCTCCATCCTTCCTTTCCCCTCTCTCTCTCGCTCTCCATCCTTCCTTCCAGCCACTCTCTCTCTCTCTCTCTCTTTCTCCCTCCTTCATTTCCCCTTTCTCTCTCTCTCTCTCTCCATCCTTTCTTCCCCCTCTCTCTTCATCCTTCCTTCCAGCCCCCTCTCTCTCTCTTTCTCCCTCCTTCATTTCCCCCTCTCTCTCTCTCTCTCTCCATCCTTCCTTCCCCTCTCTCTTTCTCTCTTTCTCCCTCCTTCATTTCCCCTCTCTCTCTCTCTCCATCCTTCCTTCCCCTCTCTCTTTCTCCACCCTTCCTTTCCCCCCTCTCTCTCTCTCCCTCTCTTTCTTCCCATCTCCCCCTTCTCTCGTTTGATCTCAACTTATTCTCTTCTCTGTCATTATCTCTCTGACTGTCTCACCCTTAAGACTGTCGAGTCCACCCGTATATTAAGTTGGTTTCACTTGAAGCAGACAATTGAGAGGAGCAGGTAATAGAAAGTTTAAGCAAAACATGATTAAAAATAAGAAAGTTGTTAATTTTTGAAGTTCGAATTTGCAACTCTGTGACGTATCTTGCGAGGTTCACCTCTATTTGGCTCTGTACAGAAAATTTCATTTACTGTTATATTGTTAGTTATTGATGGCGGAGTAGATTTGCCTGTGGGTTGCCATCATTATATATCGGGTGCATGTATGATTGACAATTTTCTTTCGAGAAAAGAGAAAGCTCTGAATTATTTTTGGACAGAGCAAAGGGGAAGCTAGGGACCTCGCAAGATACGTCACAGTGTTGCCAATTCATAACTTTTTTTTCCTCAATCGGATAATGCCCAAACTGTCACTAACCTGTTCCTCCCATTTTCCTGCTTCTATTAAACCAACTTTATATCAAGGTGGGTTTCCCCTTTAAGACTGAAATGTGATTTTCAATGAATAACTGCATTTTAAACAATGTGCTTATTTTATTGCCCATGAAGTTTATTTTACCCATAATCAATTAATAGAATTTAAAAACTTCTTAGTATTGCTACATGCACCTAAAGAAGAAGAAGAAGAAGCATGACAAAAACAACAAGATAGTTCAGGGAACGTATAATTTCGGCGCATAGTCTGACATATTCCCTTCTCTCCCGGCCTCTATACCTGGAAGTTTCCATAGCGGGGAAATGCTCTGTTGTCATTTAAGAAATAATTAAGAAATGTTTTTTTTTTTTTAAACTTTATAGCAATTCAACATGCACCTAAAGAAGAAGAAGAAGAGGAAGAATGCCAAAAACAACAAGAGAGTTAAATGTATGCTATAATAATTTTAAACAGGGAACGTAGAATTTCGGCGCATATTCTGACATATTCCCTTCTGTCCCATCTTTCCACGGAAGTTTCCCTAGCGGGGGATGCTCTGTTGTCATTTAATTGTCCTCGAGTTGAGCCAGGATCTCAGCCACGAGCTCGAGCTCTTTCTTCTCTTGATAGGCTTCTTCTTCTTCCTGTTGGTAAAAAAAGTTATAGTGCTCTTAAAGGTGACAATCAGGAACTCGAGTGTAAGAGAATTTAAAGGGAAAAGCTCGGGCGTTTATACAGTGCGTCCCAGAAAAAACGAAACCGAGAAGTATTGAGGTTTTATCATAAATTATTCACAATTATTATAAATAAATGACACATATTTGTAAAGCTTAGAGCCTCCTCTTTCATTTGATGAAACTCATATGATGCATATTTCACACATGAGTGATTTAAAGCAATTTGAAGGAAGGAAACCAAAAAGACATTTGGCGGGCGGTATCTGAATTTCGTAGGGAAATCCACATTTCTAGAAAGTTCAGTTTCTGCCCTTTCATATGACACCTCAATCAGGAAAAATGAGCAAGGAATAACAAAGTTCTGTTTGCTTAAAGTGATGCTTGCATTACCATAATTTGATTAAACAAATTCGTTTTCACTGGCTGCCTGTTGTAGCAACAAACGGAATTGACAAAAGACTTAAATCCGTTTCGTTGACAATCAGCCGTATACGAAAGACTTTATGTATCATTTATTAGTTATAATTGTGATTCAGTTATGATAAAACATCGATAATCATCGGTTTCCTTTTTTCTGGGATGCACTGTATAACACCCCGTTTTCCCTCCTCCTCCAATTTTACGTATTATTTGATGTGTCTTTTTAGGACATGCCAACGGAATGAGAATATGAACTATTTTGGGCTGCTAAGACAATTTTTTCAGTTATTTATAAATACAAAATACCTCATTGAGCCCCCTTTCTCTATCTAAAATCAGAAAAGAAATAACTATAACGTCACGATGCGCATAGTTCAGTGCATATCAAAATGCGCAATTGAAATGTTCCAAAGCCTAATTATCAGATCGATTCAAGCATTTGATCATTCTTTCAATTTCTGCTTGGTATGGGACCTATTATAGATGTTTTCTTTCAAAAGCCTTATCATTTCGTTTTCAAGTATGTACGTTTTTTTTTTCTTCAAATGTGTTTTATTAGGCTACGTTTTACAAATGTTAATTCCATTGTAAACGGGCTCATTCCAACACTGTCCCAAATACTTGCATTGCTCCCTCCCAGGGGTGATAGTGAGCACTATTTTTTTTTAAATTCCCCTCAAACACGCCCCCCTTGAGTAAAAAAAAGAAGAAGAAGAGGATTCCGGGGGAGGCATCTAACAACATTCCTTCCCCCCCCCTTTTTTGTGGTAAGAAAATTGGGGGAAATAGGGGGAAATAAGGAAAAATAGAAAAAATAAGGGGAAAATAAGGAAAATAAGGAAAAAAGCGAGAAAAAAATGGGAAAAAACGGGGGGAAAAATCGAGAAAAAATGAAATAAAATCGGGTAATTATCAGGCCTTTCCCCAATAATGGTTACACTCTTCGACAATTTACCCCCCCCCTCCTGTGTGCCTTTCCTTAACATACATTAATAATGAGAGATGCCCACCTTGAGATTCTGCAAAAAATCTTCGTCCTTCTCGGCATAGGCTTCTTCTTCCTGTTGGTAAAAAAAGTTATAGTGCTCTTAAAGGTGACAATCAGGAACTCGAGTGTAAGAGAATTTAAAGGGAAAAGCTCGGGCGTTTATACAGTGCGTCCCAGAAAAAACGAAACCGAGAAGTATTGAGGTTTTATCATAAATTATTCACAATTATTATAAATAAATGACACATATTTGTAAAGCTTAGAGCCTCCTCTTTCATTTGATGAAACTCATATGATGCATATTTCACGCATGAGTGATTTAAAGCAATTTGAAGGAAGGAAACCAAAAAGACATTTGGCGGGCGGTATCTGAATTTCGTAGGGAAATCCACATTTCTAGAAAGTTCAGTTTCTGCCCTTTCATATGACACCTCAATCAGGAAAAATGAGCAAGGAATAACAAAGTTCTGTTTGCTTAAAGTGATGCTTGCATTACCATAATTTGATTAAACAAATTCGTTTTCACTGGCTGCCTGCTGTAGCAACAAACGGAATTGACAAAAGACTTAAATCCGTTTCGTTGACAATCAGCCGTATACGAAAGACTTTATGTATCATTTATTAGTTATAATTGTGATTCAGTTATGATAAAACATCGATAATCATCGGTTTCCTTTTTTCTGGGATGCACTGTATAACACCCCGTTTTCCCTCCTCCTCCAATTTTACGTATTATTTGATGTGTCTTTTTAGGACATGCCAACGGAATGAGAATATGAACTATTTTGGGCTGCTAAGCCGACAATTTTTTCAGTTATTTATAAATACAAAATACCTCATTGAGCCCCCTTTCTCTATCTAAAATCAGAAAAGAAATAACTATAACGTCACGATGCGCATAGTTCAGTGCATATCAAAATGCGCAATTGAAATGTTCCAAAGCCTAATTATCAGATCGATTCAAGCATTTGATCATTCTTTCAATTTCTGCTTGGTATGGGACCTATTATAGATGTTTTCTTTCAAAAGCCTTATCATTTCGTTTTCAAGTATGTACGTTTTTTTTTTTTCAAATGTGTTTTATTAGGCTACGTTTTACAAATGTTAATTCCATTGTAAACGGGCTCATTCCAACACTGTCCCAAATACTTGCATTGCTCCCTCCCAGGGGTGATAGTGAGCACTATTTTTTTTTTAAATTCCCCTCAACCACGCCCCCCTTGAGTAAAAAAAAAAAGAAGAAGAGGATTCCGGGGGAGGCATCTAACAAAATTCCTCCCCCCCCCCTTTTTTTGTGGTAAGAAAATTGGGGGAAATAGGGGGAAATAAGGAAAAATAGAAAAATAAGGGGAAAATCTGGAAAATAAGGAAAAAAGCGAGAAAAAAATGGGAAAAAACGGGGGGAAAAAATCGAGAAAAAATGAATTAAAATCGGGTAATTATCAGGCCTTTCCTCAATAATGGTTACACTCTTCGACAATTTACCCCCCCCCCCCTCCTGTGTGCCTTTCCTTAACATACATTAATAATGAGAGATGCCCACCTTGAGATTCTGCAAAAAATCTTCGTCCTTCTCGGCATAGGCTTCTTCTTCCTGTTGGTAAAAAAAGTTATAGTGCTCTTAAAGGTGACAATCAGGAACTCGAGTGTAAGAGAATTTAAAGGGAAAAGCTCGGGCGTTTATACAGTGCGTCCCAGAAAAAACGAAACCGAGAAGTATTGAGGTTTTATCATAAATTATTCACAATTATTATAAATAAATGACACATATTTGTAAAGCTTAGAGCCTCCTCTTTCATTTGATGAAACTCATATGATGCATATTTCACACATGAGTGATTTAAAGCAATTTGAAGGAAGGAAACCAAAAAGACATTTGGCGGGCGGTATCTGAATTTCGTAGGGAAATCCACATTTCTAGAAAGTTCAGTTTCTGCCCTTTCCTATGACACCTCAATCAGGAAAAATGAGCAAGGAATAACAAAGTTCTGTTTGCTTAAAGTGATGCTTGCATTACCATAATTTGATTAAACAAATTCGTTTTCACTGGCTGCCTGCTGTAGCAACAAACGGAATTGACAAAAGACTTAAATCCGTTTCGTTGACAATCAGCCGTATACGAAAGACTTTATGTATCATTTATTAGTTATAATTGTGATTCAGTTATGATAAAACATCGATAATCATCGGTTTCCTTTTTTCTGGGATGCACTGTATAACACCCCGTTTTCCCTCCTCCTCCAATTTTACGTATTATTTGATGTGTCTTTTTAGGACATGCCAACGGAATGAGAATATGAACTATTTTGGGCTGCTAAGACAATTTTTTCAGTTATTTATAAATACAAAATACCTCATTGAGCCCCCTTTCTCTATCTAAAATCAGAAAAGAAATAACTATAACGTCACGATGCGCATAGTTCAGTGCATATCAAAATGCGCAATTGAAATGTTCCAAAGCCTAATTATCAGATCGATTCAAGCATTTGATCATTCTTTCAATTTCTGCTTGGTATGGGACCTATTATAGATGTTTTCTTTCAAAAGCCTTATCATTTCGTTTTCAAGTATGTACGTTTTTTTTTTCTTCAAATGTGTTTTATTAGGCTACGTTTTACAAATGTTAATTCCATTGTAAACGGGCTCATTCCAACACTGTCCCAAATACTTGCATTGCTCCCTCCCAGGGGTGATAGTGAGCACTATTTTTTTTTTAAATTCCCCTCAAACACGCCCCCCTTGAGTAAAAAAAAGAAGAAGAAGAGGATTCCGGGGGAGGCATCTAACAACATTCCTTCCCCCCCCCCCTTTTTTTGTGGTAAGAAAATTGGGGGAAATAGGGGGAAATAAGGAAAAATAGAAAAAATAAGGGGAAAATAAGGAAAATAAGGAAAAAAGCGAGAAAAAAATGGGAAAAAACGGGGGGAAAAATCGAGAAAAAATGAAATAAAATCGGGTAATTATCAGGCCTTTCCCCAATAATGGTTACACTCTTCGACAATTTACCCCTCCCCCCTCCTGTGTGCCTTTCCTTAACATACATTAATAATGAGAGATGCCCACCTTGAGATTCTGCAAAAAATCTTCGTCCTTCTCGGCATAGGCTTCTTCTTCCTGTTGGTAAAAAAAGTTATAGTGCTCTTAAAGGTGACAATCAGGAACTCGAGTGTAAGAGAATTTAAAGGGAAAAGCTCGGGCGTTTATACAGTGCGTCCCAGAAAAAACGAAACCGAGAAGTATTGAGGTTTTATCATAAATTATTCACAATTATTATAAATAAATGACACATATTTGTAAAGCTTAGAGCCTCCTCTTTCATTTGATGAAACTCATATGATGCATATTTCACGCATGAGTGATTTAGAGCAATTTGAAGGAAGGAAACCAAAAAGACATTTGGCGGGCGGTATCTGAATTTCGTAGGGAAATCCACATTTCTAGAAAGTTCAGTTTCTGCCCTTTCATATGACACCTCAATCAGGAAAAATGAGCAAGGAATAACAAAGTTCTGTTTGCTTAAAGTGATGCTTGCATTACCATAATTTGATTAAACAAATTCGTTTTCACTGGCTGCCTGCTGTAGCAACAAACGGAATTGACAAAAGACTTAAATCCGTTTCGTTGACAATCAGCCGTATACGAAAGACTTTATGTATCATTTATTAGTTATAATTGTGATTCAGTTATGATAAAACATCGATAATCATCGGTTTCCTTTTTTCTGGGATGCACTGTATAACACCCCGTTTTCCCTCCTCCTCCAATTTTACGTATTATTTGATGTGTCTTTTTAGGACATGCCAACGGAATGAGAATATGAACTATTTTGGGCTGCTAAGCCGACAATTTTTTCAGTTATTTATAAATACAAAATACCTCATTGAGCCCCCTTTCTCTATCTAAAATCAGAAAAGAAATAACTATAACGTCACGATGCGCATAGTTCAGTGCATATCAAAATGCGCAATTGAAATGTTCCAAAGCCTAATTATCAGATCGATTCAAGCATTTGATCATTCTTTCAATTTCTGCTTGGTATGGGACCTATTATAGATGTTTTCTTTCAAAAGCCTTATCATTTCGTTTTCAAGTATGTACGTTTTTTTTTTTTCAAATGTGTTTTATTAGGCTACGTTTTACAAATGTTAATTCCATTGTAAACGGGCTCATTCCAACACTGTCCCAAATACTTGCATTGCTCCCTCCCAGGGGTGATAGTGAGCACTATTTTTTTTTTTAATTCCCCTCAACCACGCCCCCCTTGAGTAAAAAAAAAAAGAAGAAGAGGATTCTGGGGGAGGCATCTAACAAAATTCCTCCCCCCCCCCTTTTTTTGTGGTAAGAAAATTGGGGGAAATAGGGGGAAATAAGGAAAAATAGAAAAATAAGGGGAAAATCTGGAAAATAAGGAAAAAAGCGAGAAAAAAATGGGAAAAAACGGGGGGAAAAAATCGAGAAAAAATGAATTAAAATCGGGTAATTATCAGGCCTTTCCTCAATAATGGTTACACTCTTCGACAATTTACCCCCCCCCCTCCTGTGTGCCTTTCCTTAACATACATTAATAATGAGAGATGCCCACCTTGAGATTCTGCAAAAAATCTTCGTCCTTCTCGGCATAGGCTTCTTCTTCCTGTTGGTAAAAAAAGTTATAGTGCTCTTAAAGGTGACAATCAGGAACTCGAGTGTAAGAGAATTTAAAGGGAAAAGCTCGGGCGTTTATACAGTGCGTCCCAGAAAAAACGAAACCGAGAAGTATTGAGGTTTTATCATAAATTATTCACAATTATTATAAATAAATGACACATATTTGTAAAGCTTAGAGCCTCCTCTTTCATTTGATGAAACTCATATGATGCATATTTCACGCATGAGTGATTTAAAGCAATTTGAAGGAAGGAAACCAAAAAGACATTTGGCGGGCGGTATCTGAATTTCGTAGGGAAATCCACATTTCTAGAAAGTTCAGTTTCTGCCCTTTCATATGACACCTCAATCAGGAAAAATGAGCAAGGAATAACAAAGTTCTGTTTGCTTAAAGTGATGCTTGCATTACCATAATTTGATTAAACAAATTCGTTTTCACTGGCTGCCTGCTGTAGCAACAAACGGAATTGACAAAAGACTTAAATCCGTTTCGTTGACAATCAGCCGTATACGAAAGACTTTATGTATCATTTATTAGTTATAATTGTGATTCAGTTATGATAAAACATCGATAATCATCGGTTTCCTTTTTTCTGGGATGCACTGTATAACACCCGGTTTTCCCTCCTCCTCCAATTTTACGTATTATTTGATGTGTCTTTTTAGGACATGCCAACGGAATGAGAATATGAACTATTTTGGGCTGCTAAGCCGACAATTTTTTCAGTTATTTATAAATACAAAATACCTCATTGAGCCCCCTTTCTCTATCTAAAATCAGAAAAGAAATAACTATAACGTCACGATGCGCATAGTTCAGTGCATATCAAAATGCGCAATTGAAATGTTCCAAAGCCTAATTATCAGATCGATTCAAGCATTTGATCATTCTTTCAATTTCTGCTTGGTATGGGACCTATTATAGATGTTTTCTTTCAAAAGCCTTATCATTTCGTTTTCAAGTATGTACGTTTTTTTTTTTTCAAATGTGTTTTATTAGGCTACGTTTTACAAATGTTAATTCCATTGTAAACGGGCTCATTCCAACACTGTCCCAAATACTTGCATTGCTCCCTCCCAGGGGTGATAGTGAGCACTATTTTTTTTTTAAATTCCCCTCAACCACGCCCCCCTTGAGTAAAAAAAAAAAGAAGAAGAGGATTCTGGGGGAGGCATCTAACAAAATTCCTCCCCCCCCCCCTTTTTTTGTGGTAAGAAAATTGGGGGAAATAGGGGGAAATAAGGAAAAATAGAAAAATAAGGGGAAAATCTGGAAAATAAGGAAAAAAGCGAGAAAAAAATGGGAAAAAACGGGGGGAAAAAATCGAGAAAAAATGAATTAAAATCGGGTAATTATCAGGCCTTTCCTCAATAATGGTTACACTCTTCGACAATTTACCCCCCCCCCTCCTGTGTGCCTTTCCTTAACATACATTAATAATGAGAGATGCCCACCTTGAGATTCTGCAAAAAATCTTCGTCCTTCTCGGCATAGGCTTCTTCTTCCTGTTGGTAAAAAAAGTTATAGTGCTCTTAAAGGTGACAATCAGGAACTCGAGTGTAAGAGAATTTAAAGGGAAAAGCTCGGGCGTTTATACAGTGCGTCCCAGAAAAAACGAAACCGAGAAGTATTGAGGTTTTATCATAAATTATTCACAATTATTATAAATAAATGACACATATTTGTAAAGCTTAGAGCCTCCTCTTTCATTTGATGAAACTCATATGATGCATATTTCACACATGAGTGATTTAAAGCAATTTGAAGGAAGGAAACCAAAAAGACATTTGGCGGGCGGTATCTGAATTTCGTAGGGAAATCCACATTTCTAGAAAGTTCAGTTTCTGCCCTTTCATATGACACCTCAATCAGGAAAAATGAGCAAGGAATAACAAAGTTCTGTTTGCTTAAAGTGATGCTTGCATTACCATAATTTGATTAAACAAATTCGTTTTCACTGGCTGCCTGCTGTAGCAACAAACGGAATTGACAAAAGACTTAAATCCGTTTCGTTGACAATCAGCCGTATACGAAAGACTTTATGTATCATTTATTAGTTATAATTGTGATTCAGTTATGATAAAACATCGATAATCATCGGTTTCCTTTTTTCTGGGATGCACTGTATAACACCCCGTTTTCCCTCCTCCTCCAATTTTACGTATTATTTGATGTGTCTTTTTAGGACATGCCAACGGAATGAGAATATGAACTATTTTGGGCTGCTAAGCCGACAATTTTTTCAGTTATTTATAAATACAAAATACCTCATTGAGCCCCCTTTCTCTATCTAAAATCAGAAAAGAAATAACTATAACGTCACGATGCGCATAGTTCAGTGCATATCAAAATGCGCGATTGAAATGTTCCAAAGCCTAATTATCAGATCGATTCAAGCATTTGATCATTCTTTCAATTTCTGCTTGGTATGGGACCTATTATAGATGTTTTCTTTCAAAAGCCTTATCATTTCGTTTTCAAGTATGTACGTTTTTTTTTTTTCAAATGTGTTTTATTAGGCTACGTTTTACAAATGTTAATTCCATTGTAAACGGGCTCATTCCAACACTGTCCCAAATACTTGCATTGCTCCCTCCCAGGGGTGATAGTGAGCACTATTTTTTTTTTAAATTCCCCTCAACCACGCCCCCCTTGAGTAAAAAAAAAAGAAGAAGAGGATTCCGGGGGAGGCATCTAACAAAATTCCTCCCCCCCCCCTTTTTTTGTGGTAAGAAAATTGGGGGAAATAGGGGGAAATAAGGAAAAATAGAAAAAATAAGGGGAAAATCTGGAAAATAAGGAAAAAAGCGAGAAAAAAATGGGAAAAAAGGGGGGAAAAATCGAGAAAAAATGAAATAAAATCGGGTAATTATCAGGCCTTTCCTCAATAATGGTTACACCCTTCGACAATTTACCCCCCCCCCCCCCTCCTCCTGTGTGCCTTTCCTTAACATACATTAATAATGAGAGATGCCCACCTTGAGATACTGCAAAAAATCTTCGTCCTTCTCGGCATAGGCTTCTTCTTCTTCCTGTTGGTAAAAAAAGTTATAGTGCTCTTAAAGGGAAAGTCCAACCCCAAAATAAGTTTGTTTCGATAGAGGCAGAATAATAAGAAAATCAGGTGAGTGAAAGTTTGAGCAAATTCTGAATGAAAATAAGAAAGTTATGAATTATTGAAGTTGTGATCAATCAAATACAAATTGGCAACTCTGTGACTTATTATACGAGCTCTCCTTCATTTGCTTTGTGCATAATATTCCATAAAATCATGTTTTCTTCGTTATTGATGACGGAATATATATTTGTTCCTTGCAGGGGGAGTATAGAAACATATTTGCAATTATTATATTTAGGGTGCATGTATGGTTGAAATTTTTCTTGAGGGAAAATGGAAATTTTAGATTTTTTTAGTACTGAGCAAATGGAAGTTGAGCTCGCATGATACGTCATAGAGTTGCCAATTTGTGTTTGATTGATCACAACTTCAAAAATCCTAACTTCCTTTTTTTAATCGGAATTTGCTCAAACTTTCACTGACTTGTTTCTCTCATTTTTCTACTCCTATTAAAACTAACTTAATTTCAGGGTGGACTTCCCCTTTAAAGGTGACAATCAGGAAATCGAGTGTAAGAGAATTTAAAGGGAAAAGCTCGGGCGTTTATACAGTGCGTCCCAGAAAAAAAGAAATTGAGAAGTATTGAGGTTTTATCATAAATTATTCACAATTATTATAAATAAATGACACATATTTGTAAAGCTTAGAGCCTCCTCTTTCATTTGATGAAACTCATATGATGCATATTTCACGCATGAGTGATTTAAAGCAATTTGAAGGAAGGAAACCAAAAAGACATTTGGCGGGCGGTATCTGAATTTCGTAGGGAAATCCACATTTCTAGAAAGTTCAGTTTCTGCCCTTTCATATGACACCTCAATCAGGAAAAATGAGCAAGGAATAACAAAGTTCTGTTTGCTTAAAGTGATGCTTGCATTACCATAATTTGATTAAACAAATTCGTTTTCACTGGCTGCCTGCTGTAGCAACAAACGGAATTGACAAAAGACTTAAATCCGTTTCGTTGACAATCAGCCGTATACGAAAGACTTTATGTATCATTTATTAGTTATAATTGTGATTCAGTTATGATAAAACATCGATAATCATCGGTTTCCTTTTTTCTGGGATGCACTGTATAACACCCCGTTTTCCCTCCTCCTCCAATTTTACGTATTATTTGATGTGTCTTTTTAGGACATGCCAACGGAATGAGAATATGAACTATTTTGGGCTGCTAAGCCGACAATTTTTTCAGTTATTTATAAATACAAAATACCTCATTGAGCCCCCTTTCTCTATCTAAAATCAGAAAAGAAATAACTATAACGTCACGATGCGCATAGTTCAGTGCATATCAAAATGCGCAATTGAAATGTTCCAAAGCCTAATTATCAGATCGATTCAAGCATTTGATCATTCTTTCAATTTCTGCTTGGTATGGGACCTATTATAGATGTTTTCTTTCAAAAGCCTTATCATTTCGTTTTCAAGTATGTACGTTTTTTTTTTTTCAAATGTGTTTTATTAGGCTACGTTTTACAAATGTTAATTCCATTGTAAACGGGCTCATTCCAACACTGTCCCAAATACTTGCATTGCTCCCTCCCAGGGGTGATAGTGAGCACTATTTTTTTTTTAATTCCCCTCAACCACGCCCCCCTTGAGTAAAAAAAAAAGAAGAAGAGGATTCTGGGGGAGGCATCTAACAAAATTCCTCCCCCCCCCCTTTTTTTGTGGTAAGAAAATTGGGGGAAATAGGGGGAAATAAGGAAAAATAGAAAAATAAGGGGAAAATCTGGAAAATAAGGAAAAAAGCGAGAAAAAAATGGGAAAAAACGGGGGGAAAAAATCGAGAAAAAATGAATTAAAATCGGGTAATTATCAGGCCTTTCCTCAATAATGGTTACACTCTTCGACAATTTACCCCCCCCCCCTCCTGTGTGCCTTTCCTTAACATACATTAATAATGAGAGATGCCCACCTTGAGATTCTGCAAAAAATCTTCGTCCTTCTCGGCATAGGCTTCTTCTTCCTGTTGGTAAAAAAAGTTATAGTGCTCTTAAAGGTGACAATCAGGAACTCGAGTGTAAGAGAATTTAAAGGGAAAAGCTCGGGCGTTTATACAGTGCGTCCCAGAAAAAACGAAACCGAGAAGTATTGAGGTTTTATCATAAATTATTCACAATTATTATAAATAAATGACACATATTTGTAAAGCTTAGAGCCTCCTCTTTCATTTGATGAAACTCATATGATGCATATTTCACGCATGAGTGATTTAAAGCAATTTGAAGGAAGGAAACCAAAAAGACATTTGGCGGGCGGTATCTGAATTTCGTAGGGAAATCCACATTTCTAGAAAGTTCAGTTTCTGCCCTTTCATATGACACCTCAATCAGGAAAAATGAGCAAGGAATAACAAAGTTCTGTTTGCTTAAAGTGATGCTTGCATTACCATAATTTGATTAAACAAATTCGTTTTCACTGGCTGCCTGCTGTAGCAACAAACGGAATTGACAAAAGACTTAAATCCGTTTCGTTGACAATCAGCCGTATACGAAAGACTTTATGTATCATTTATTAGTTATAATTGTGATTCAGTTATGATAAAACATCGATAATCATCGGTTTCCTTTTTTCTGGGATGCACTGTATAACACCCGGTTTTCCCTCCTCCTCCAATTTTACGTATTATTTGATGTGTCTTTTTAGGACATGCCAACGGAATGAGAATATGAACTATTTTGGGCTGCTAAGCCGACAATTTTTTCAGTTATTTATAAATACAAAATACCTCATTGAGCCCCCTTTCTCTATCTAAAATCAGAAAAGAAATAACTATAACGTCACGATGCGCATAGTTCAGTGCATATCAAAATGCGCAATTGAAATGTTTCAAAGCCTAATTATCAGATCGATTCAAGCATTTGATCATTCTTTCAATTTCTGCTTGGTATGGGACCTATTATAGATGTTTTCTTTCAAAAGCCTTATCATTTCGTTTTCAAGTATGTACGTTTTTTTTTTTTCAAATGTGTTTTATTAGGCTACGTTTTACAATGTTAATTCCATTGTAAACGGGCTCATTCCAACACTGTCCCAAATACTTGCATTGCTCCCTCCCAGGGGTGATAGTGAGCACTATTTTTTTTTTAAATTCCCCTCAACCACGCCCCCCTTGAGTAAAAAAAAAAGAAGAAGAGGATTCTGGGGGAGGCATCTAACAAAATTCCTCCCCCCCCCCTTTTTTTGTGGTAAGAAAATTGGGGGAAATAGGGGGAAATAAGGAAAAATAGAAAAATAAGGGGAAAATCTGGAAAATAAGGAAAAAAGCGAGAAAAAAATGGGAAAAAACGGGGGGAAAAAATCGAGAAAAAATGAATTAAAATCGGGTAATTATCAGGCCTTTCCTCAATAATGGTTACACTCTTCGACAATTTACCCCCCCCCCCCTCCTGTGTGCCTTTCCTTAACATACATTAATAATGAGAGATGCCCACCTTGAGATTCTGCAAAAAATCTTCGTCCTTCTCGGCATAGGCTTCTTCTTCCTGTTGGTAAAAAAAGTTATAGTGCTCTTAAAGGTGACAATCAGGAACTCGAGTGTAAGAGAATTTAAAGGGAAAAGCTCGGGCGTTTATACAGTGCGTCCCAGAAAAAACGAAACCGAGAAGTATTGAGGTTTTATCATAAATTATTCACAATTATTATAAATAAATGACACATATTTGTAAAGCTTAGAGCCTCCTCTTTCATTTGATGAAACTCATATGATGCATATTTCACACATGAGTGATTTAAAGCAATTTGAAGGAAGGAAACCAAAAAGACATTTGGCGGGCGGTATCTGAATTTCGTAGGGAAATCCACATTTCTAGAAAGTTCAGTTTCTGCCCTTTCATATGACACCTCAATCAGGAAAAATGAGCAAGGAATAACAAAGTTCTGTTTGCTTAAAGTGATGCTTGCATTACCATAATTTGATTAAACAAATTCGTTTTCACTGGCTGCCTGCTGTAGCAACAAACGGAATTGACAAAAGACTTAAATCCGTTTCGTTGACAATCAGCCGTATACGAAAGACTTTATGTATCATTTATTAGTTATAATTGTGATTCAGTTATGATAAAACATCGATAATCATCGGTTTCCTTTTTTCTGGGATGCACTGTATAACACCCCGTTTTCCCTCCTCCTCCAATTTTACGTATTATTTGATGTGTCTTTTTAGGACATGCCAACGGAATGAGAATATGAACTATTTTGGGCTGCTAAGCCGACAATTTTTTCAGTTATTTATAAATACAAAATACCTCATTGAGCCCCCTTTCTCTATCTAAAATCAGAAAAGAAATAACTATAACGTCACGATGCGCATAGTTCAGTGCATATCAAAATGCGCGATTGAAATGTTCCAAAGCCTAATTATCAGATCGATTCAAGCATTTGATCATTCTTTCAATTTCTGCTTGGTATGGGACCTATTATAGATGTTTTCTTTCAAAAGCCTTATCATTTCGTTTTCAAGTATGTACGTTTTTTTTTTTTCAAATGTGTTTTATTAGGCTACGTTTTACAAATGTTAATTCCATTGTAAACGGGCTCATTCCAACACTGTCCCAAATACTTGCATTGCTCCCTCCCAGGGGTGATAGTGAGCACTATTTTTTTTTAAATTCCCCTCAACCACGCCCCCCTTGAGTAAAAAAAAAAAGAAGAAGAGGATTCCGGGGGAGGCATCTAACAAAATTCCCCCCCCCCCCTTTTTTTGTGGTAAGAAAATTGGGGGGAAATAGGGGGAAATAAGGAAAAATAGAAAAAATAAGGGGAAAATCTGGAAAATAAGGAAAAAAGCGAGAAAAAAATGGGAAAAAAGGGGGGAAAATCGAGAAAAAATGAAATAAAATCGGGTAATTATCAGGCCTTTCCTCAATAATGGTTACACCCTTCGACAATTTACCCCCCCCCCCCCTCCTCCTGTGTGCCTTTCCTTAACATACATTAATAATGAGAGATGCCCACCTTGAGATACTGCAAAAAATCTTCGTCCTTCTCGGCATAGGCTTCTTCTTCTTCCTGTTGGTAAAAAAAGTTATAGTGCTCTTAAAGGGAAAGTCCAACCCCAAAATAAGTTTGTTTCGATAGAGGCAGAATAATAAGAAAATCAGGTGAGTGAAAGTTTGAGCAAATTCTGAATGAAAATAAGAAAGTTATGAATTATTGAAGTTGTGATCAATCAAATACAAATTGGCAACTCTGTGACTTATTATACGAGCTCTCCTTCATTTGCTTTGTGCATAATATTCCATAAAATCATGTTTTCTTCGTTATTGATGACGGAATATATATTTGTTCCTTGCAGGGGGAGTATAGAAACATATTTGCAATTATTATATTTAGGGTGCATGTATGGTTGAAATTTTTCTTGAGGGAAAATGGAAATTTTAGATTTTTTTAGTACTGAGCAAATGGAAGTTGAGCTCGCATGATACGTCATAGAGTTGCCAATTTGTGTTTGATTGATCACAACTTCAAAAATCCTAACTTCCTTTTTTTTAATCGGAATTTGCTCAAACTTTCACTGACTTGTTTCTCTCATTTTTCTACTCCTATTAAAACTAACTTAATTTCAGGGTGGACTTCCCCTTTAAAGGTGACAATCAGGAACTCGAGTGTAAGAGAATTTAAAGGGAAAAGCTCGGGCGTTTATACAGTGCGTCCCAGAAAAAACGAAACCGAGAAGTATCGAGGCCTTTCCTCAATAATGGTTACACTCTTCGACAATTTACCCCCCCCCCCCTCCTGTGTGCCTTTCCTTAACATACATTAATAATGAGAGATGCCCACCTTGAGATTCTGCAAAAAATCTTCGTCCTTCTCGGCATAGGCTTCTTCTTCTTCCTGTTGGTAAAAAAAGTTATAGTGCTCTTAAAGGTGACAATCAGGAACTCGAGTGTAAGAGAATTTAAAGGGAAAAGCTCGGGCGTTTATACAGTGCGTCCCAGAAAAAACGAAACCGAGAAGTATTGAGGTTTTATCATAAATTATTCACAATTATTATAAATAAATGACACATATTTGTAAAGCTTAGAGCCTCCTCTTTCATTTGATGAAACTCATATGATGCATATTTCACGCATGAGTGATTTAAAGCAATTTGAAGGAAGGAAATCAAAAAGACATTTGGCGGGCGGTATCTAAATTTCGTAGGGAAATCCGCATTTCTAGAAAGTTCAGTTTCTGCCCTTTCATATGACACCTCAATCAGGAAAAATGAGCAAGGAATAACAAAGTTCTGTTTGCTTAAAGTGATGCTTGCATTACCATAATTTGATTAAACAAATTCGTTTTCACTGGCTGCCTGCCGTAGCAACAAACGGAATTGACAAAAGACTTAAATCCGTTTCGTTGACAATCAGCCGTATACGAAAGACTTTATGTATCATTTATTAGTTATAATTGTGATTAAGTTATGATAAAACATCGATAATCATCGGTTTCCTTTTTTCTGGGATGCACTGTATAACACCCCGTTTTCCCTCCTCCTCCAATTTTACGTATTATTTGATGTGTCTTTTTAGGACATGCCAACGGAATGAGAATATGAACTATTTTGGGCTGCTAAGACAATTTTTTCAGTTATTTTTAAATACAAAATACCTCATTGAGCCCCCTTTCTCTATCTAAAATCAGAAAAGAAATAACTATAACGTCACGATGCGCATAGTTCAGTGCATATCAAAATGCGCAATTGAAATGTTCCAAAGCCTAATTATCAGTTCGATTCAAGCATTTGATCATTCTTTCAATTTCTGCTTGGTATGGGACCTATTATAGATGTTTTCTTTCAAAAGCCTTATCATTTCGTTTTCAAGTATGTATGTTTTTGTTTTTTTCAAATGTGTTTTATTAGGCTACGTTTTACAAATGTTAATTCCATTGTAAACGGGCTCATTCCAACACTGTCCCAAATACTTGCATTGCTCCCTCCCAGGGGTGATAGTGAGCACTATTTTTTTTTAAATTCCCCTCAACCACGCCCCCGTTGAGTAAAAAGAAGAAGAGGATTCCGGGGGAGGCATCTAACAACATTCCTCCCCCCCCCTTTTTTTTTGTGGTAAGAAAATTGGGGGGAAATAGGGGGAAATAAGGAAAAATAGACAAAATAAGGGGAAAATCTGGAAAATAAGGAAAAAAGCGAGAAAAAAATGGGAAAAAAGGGGGGAAAAATCGAGAAAAAATGAAATAAAATCGGGTAATTATCAGGCCTTTCCTCAATAATGGTTACACCCTTCGACAATTTACCCCCCCCCCCCCCTCCTCCTGTGTGCCTTTCCTTAACATACATTAATAATGAGAGATGCCCACCTTGAGATACTGCAAAAAATCTTCGTCCTTCTCGGCATAGGCTTCTTCTTCTTCCTGTTGGTACAAACAGTTATATAGTGTGCTGTTAACTCTTAACCTGCCACAATGAATACAGCACAGAGCCACAGGGCTAAACCCCATTGTGCCAAGCCACAAATCCCCCCAGTGCCAAGTTTATTTTTGAGATAATCTCATAATCTGATGGTGAGATCAATAGCCCGTGTGAAGCACTCAGCACAGTAGGCATACAGTACTTGCATGAACAAAAACTGCTATTACGAATGCGAGCAAGCATGCGTGAAGCAGCGAACCTAGAGTATGCCGAAAATCTGCCCACAGTCATGTTTAAAAAAAAAGAAAATCTCTAATATTTATTCTTTCATTCTTTAAATTTCGTTTAATTGTTTATTCATTATTGTTTTAATTGTTTTTATTTATTTTATCATTATTTTTAATTGTTATTATTATTATATATTTAGTTTTACGGGATGGGGGTGGCGATAAGTTTGCCTCGCCCCTCTATTCAAGGGTGGGGTAATACGATTGTTGGTGTTGTTCTTACCTCTTCTGTCATGTTATAAAGCCCCCTTGAAGTTACCTGTCCTGTAATTTAAAAGAGAAAACACAGAGCAGTAAATATAATTCAATTAAATTTAACGACGTCTGACAAACAGAAAAAGCAGCCACCATCGATAACCATTTTGAAAAAAACTTCAAAATGGGCGATCAGTAACTGTTATACAGTGTGAGTCAAAAAAAGTTTACACCTAGGAAATTGCTAATTATTTTAAAAATCATCTATGAACAGTTTGCGAGAGTGCAAAAATCGACTTGCGCCAAAGTTGCTTGTGTGATGTTTGAATAAAACAATTGGGATTTGGGTATTAATTCGGTCTTTACAGATCCAATTAACAAATAACAATAGCAATAACAATTTGAATCATGCCACACATATCAAATATCAAATATCAACGTACATTTGTGCGTGTGTTTGTGAGTGCGTGAAATTGCTTCTGCAAAAAGCATATCCAATGCATTTCATTTGATACATTCAATTCATTCTCTCACTCCGCTAATCCCAACATAATAATGCTGTAGGCATCACTTTGGCGCAAGTCGATTTTTGCACACAAAAATGATACCAAATGATTTGGGATAAAACACTCTTTCATAAGATGTATAATCATTTACTGTTCATAGATGATTTTTAAAATAATTAGCAATTTTCTGGGTGTAAACTTTTTTTTGACTCACACGGTAGATAGGTTAAAGGGCAGTTGCCGATCGGTTGTCAAGTATCCTATACAAATTGTCCAAACATCAACGATTTAAATTATTTGCGACAGCTCCTGGAAATATTTACGATTGGTTGGCAGTTTTTCGGCGGTTGATCGGCAATAATAAACAACTGGTAGGAGATCAATGGCCAATGTTTTCATATTTCATGTATGCACCGGCTGTACATTTTATGATATACGGAGGGGGATCGAAGTATTCTTTTCAAGAGGGAAAAAGTATTTGTGAGGCAGCTCCATAACTTTTGCTGTGATCATTCAATAAAATGCAGAAAATGGGACGTTCTATTGTGTTATAGATCTGTGGATAATTGGGATCATTTATTTCAGCGTTTTTCAGCGTTTTTTTGATTAGTTTCGGTACCCTTTTAAGAAATAACAAGTTTCGAGTCACCCCTATCCCAAATTGATCACAGAAGACCAGTTTTTCATCACTATGGCACTCATCAAGTGACATGTATACACTAACGGGCACATTTGTTTCTAAAGTTAGCAGGCGAGCGCAGCGAGCGAACAAAAAATATAACATGGTAAAAATATCATTTTGCAATCAAGACACATTAGGTAAGATATTAAACTATATATATATATATATATATATATATATATATATAAGATATAACATTATGAAAGCTGGCACCTCGCTGCCGAATGCATATATACACAAATCAAATATTTAATCACCTCGATCGATACACGAACATTAGGATATTGTCGGGCATCTCTTTGCCCAGAATTATCCTGTTTCTAAAATGTTGTGAGCGAGTGAAGCGGAGTGTTAAAATGATATTAAAATACAATTATTCGTAACCTGTGTATGGAATCATTTGTAACGAAAGGACTTAAAAAAAGACTTGTGCATGAGATTTGATTACATTACGAAAATGGCCTATTGTACAAGTTGTATATCCGAAGTGGCTTATTATGAAATGGAGGGACTTTCTTTTTGTTGCATCCACATTAGATCGATTCGCACCCATAACATCATTTAAAATTATCAGACATTATTTAAATTTCGGATAAAATTTGGTATTTTTAATAGGCTGTTGCAGCAGGAAATAAATTTTTAAAAAGAATAACATGATCGAAGTAATTAATTAAATTGTCTATCTTCTCCTTTGTTCATCTTCTTTTCTTTCAGTGGAAAAATATAAGACAAACTAAAGTTTCGAACTATAAACAACAATAGAATTGTCAAAATCAGATATTTTTTTTGACCTCGAGTAAATTTTCAATCATATATACATGTAAATGTAATCAATGCAAACATGTTTCTATTCAACCCCTGTATGGAAAAAATCTATTCCGTCGTCAATAACGAAGAGAATGAAAGTTTATGAAATCTGGTGTGGAGAAGAGCTCGCAAGATACGTCACAGTGGTGCCAATTAGTGTTTGATTAATCGCAACTTGAAAAATGTATAACTTGCTATTTTTATCGGAATTTGCTTCTCTTAAAATGAAATTGATATCAGGGTAGACTTCCCCTCTAATCAGTAACTGAACTTTCGTAGGTCAACTTTTATCAACCAAATATCGCCCGGTAATAGTCGGCAACTATATTGGGGATCAGTCGGCAATCAGTCTGAGAACTGTTGCCTACCCTGTCAACAAAAGGTTTTCGATGAAGCAGCGTCAACCTCCAGCCGACCAAAATGCTGCGGAATTCAAACCACTGGAAACCTTTTAAAGACTGACAAAAATCTCTCTGCGACCTAGCGGTTGTCGGATGTCGGCGACCGGTCGTATCTCCGATCTAGAGTGACTTAAGCTTTAATGCACCAACCAGGAGTCATAAAATAGGGTTAACTGAACTTATCATTAGAGAATAAATGTCGCATAAACTTACCGCCGCGATCTCCTGTGAAATAGGAAGACAGAAAAAAAGGGACGTTATAACAAATTTGTAAATAATCATGAATCCTTCATTTGTTTGGAAGACAGATTGTGTTCACATTGGTTTTCTATTGCCAATACTAATGCGTTTTGCAAAATTTCACTTTTGACTGGACCCCATTCACCACCGGATTGGGGCAGCACCGTAAACGAGAATAAGCAGGCTTTTTCAATGATACCAATCAAGTACGAAAAAGTAGTAGCCTACTACGAGAGATATCAAAGCCCAAACGTGAATTGCGGATTTCTTTCGTTGGAGTTTTTAAAGATAAAAGTGAAGTGGGGAATCTCACTGGAAGCAACCTAAATGGCAAATGTAAAGAAGATTCCCTGTAAAACATGATGAATAGCAAATATAAATTAAGCCACCTAATTATTTCATTAACAAACATTAAACATTACATTTACATTCTAAGCTACGGATGGCATAATTAATCAGCGATAGTACGTTATCTTACCTCTGCATATAATACCGGTTGTTTGGTCGCGGGAGCACTGGTTTTGCCCCCAGGGGTCAGCCGGGCAGTCGGCCAGTTTCGCCTCAGTGCCTACGCATCTCACGGTGGAGAGCCAGAAACGGCCACTTCCACTTCCATAACGCCCTAATGATTGAATTATTGCGTAAGCACCATAGCGAAAGCCCCACTGCTTGCAGGCAACGCTGGCGGATTGCAAATCGAAGTCATCTTGGTTGCACACGTTGCCCCACGTGCCTTCGTGATAGACTTCGAGACGGCCCAACCGGGTCAACGTGGGGAAGGCGCTCATAAGACGGATATCGTTCTCTGTGGTCGTATAATCAAAAATAAATACAACAGTATATCAAAAACACATATCTCACAAAATCTAAATAAATTTACACAAATCGAAAAGACTTCAGGGCTCACATTCATAAAGCCTGATCCAGCCTAGTTGTCAACTAACTAGATGTACATGTATGTGCTAAAGCGCACAGCTAGCCTTGTACGGTTACTATCAGGATCATGAATATTGGCCCGGTAAATAAAGCCAGAAACAAAAACAAAAAACAGATCGTCTCCGAGTCTATATACGGCAAAAAGCCGTGCTCTTCACCCGATTAGTCCACACTATGACATCACGTATTTTGATTTCTCTAGATCATTGTTTTTCAACAGGGGTGCCGCAAGACATCTCTAGGGGCAGGGACGCGAATCTAGGGGGTTTCGGCAGTTTAACCCCCCCCCCCCTTGGGCGGCCAAGTGAAGAAAAAAAAGGGGAAAAAGAAGAAGATAAAAGTAAAACGGTAAAACGGCGCGATTTTTGGAAAATCCTGGATGGCCATGCATCATGGCTTAAGGCATGGGCACACAGAGGATTTTTTCTGTTGGGAACCGGGGTAAAAGGCAATAAATTATTGGAAAATTATTGCATTTTCTGTGTTTTTTTTTAAATTTATGGAAACTGCCGCCTACCCTAGCCCCCGCTGCGTACAGTCATGGTTCAGTGACAAAGCAATGGCCTCGTAACTGTGAGGCCCCAGGATCAAACCGTGTCTATGTGCCATATTAGTGTCCTTTTGTGGGGCATTAATCCTCATTACTGTCATTTATGACTTAAGGTCGTAGGTCCCCTATTTGATAAGCATAGTAGCAAAACACACATTGTCAAATTATTATTCAATAAAATCTGAGAATGTATACTATTATCTAGATCTATTTTTTTAAAATTATTTTTTAAAATAATTCCATAAATTGGGGTAAAACAAAAATATTCCACATATTCCATGAGCGACAGTGTATGATGAAGGACTATTTTCCTTACGAAATAACATTTTAAAGATAATTAAATGTCTTTCTTCATCGCTCACTTCACTCGCTCGTAACATTTTAAAACAAAATTGGTTCGGGCAGCGAAGTGTCCGACTATCTCAATATTTGGGCAACGAGAACCCCTTATATCCTTCTACTTGGCAGCGAGGTGGCTGAATGTCGTCATGTTCGGACAGCAAGGTATATCGTACAATTATTATATTCTATATCTAAATATTATTAAACCACTCTCATTCTCTTCACTCGCTCACAACATTTTAGAAACATAATAATTCTGGGCAACGAGATCAATTTGGAAAAGGGGAGACCTGTCACTAATGAAAGGTTGAAAAACGCTGCTCTAAATTGTATAATGAGTTAAGGAAATTGTCAAATTATAGTATAAATTTGGTGAAATGGTCTGGCGACGTCAATACTTGGGTTATGATAAGATGATACAGGAGATATATAAACAAAACAACAACAACGACAACCCCGATTCCACAAAAACTATATAAAAAACAACAACACCACCACCAGTAACAAGACTAAAATGGCCCAGCGACGTTAGTAATTGGGTTATGATAAGAAGATAAAGGGGAAGAAAGAAAAAAAAAAAAAACATTTACAACACCACCACCACCATAAACAATAACAACAAAAGTAATCTCACCTTTGGGATTGGCTGTAGAGACAGAAGTAAAAATAAGAATAAAAGGGGAAAGGTGCATGACATTTTGTTGTAGTTAATATTTTGCCTAATCATGTTAAAGGCAGGGTATTCCGACATGGCTACAATGTACTGCTGTTTCTTCGTACATTGCCATGTACTTATTCATTTAATTGTTTAACAAACTTTGCAAACATTGATGGTTCATATACCATTTGCTCTTATGTCATATACTTGTGCAGTATAAGAAACGTTGTGGAATCGATCAGAAAAGGTTGATCATCTAGCATATAAGTATTGGTGTGTACTGCAAGGTTCTGGAATCATCAAAATGATAAGAAATTTGGCCCAGTCTTCGTAAAGTTACAAGCACTGCAGGCGCGGATCCAGGATTTCTTAGGGGAGGGGGCCCAACTTTTTTTTTTTTGCTCCCGAAAATTGAAAATCGCGCCGGCCGAAAAGTCGCTCAGTGGGGGGGGGGGGGGGGGGGGGGGGGGGGGGGGGGGGGGGGGGGGGGGGGGGGTAGTGAGCACATTTTTTTTTTTTGGTCCTCAAAAAAAATTCAATTTGCACCCCCCCTTGAGCGCCAGGGGGGGGGCCCAACCCCAAAAAAAGGTAAAAATCACGTGATTTTACATGATTTTTTTTCTCAAGGGGGGGGGGGGGGGGGCCGGGCCCCCCCCCCTGGATCCGCCACTGAAGCACTGTACACAGATAGATGTTTATGGGACTACGCACACGTGCGTGACACGTGCGTTTATCTCTCATACACCAATAGGTAAACTAATTTAACAAATACATCCATTAGTAGGCGGTTTTCCGGCAAATTTTGTATCATGATGTATTAGTCAAAACATATTCTTTCACATGATTGGTAATAAGAGCTTCCATTTCATTTTTGAAATTGGGGCGTTTCCAATACTGGTCTTCACCTTTAACATTTTGTACTGTGACATTTTCTTCTTCATGTTTTGAGTTACATTTCATGTATCTATGTGAAAAGGACCCATAAGGGTAAGAATGCAATCGTGTGATTAAGCCATCCTGGGTTTTTAAAAAACACAACAACAACACAAAATATTAAAAAATAATGATAACAAACACAAATAGAAACAAATAATAACAATTAGGAATTCGAACGTTTGTACAAATTCGGAACAACATATTTTACACAACCTGGAAAAGGTGACCATGATCGTTTTGATTAAAGGGATATATAGAAGAGTTCTGTTGCAGAGGGTGCTACACTAAATAATTTGTTTGTGAGATAATGAAAAACTGAGTGTCGAATTTGAAAGAACATACGATTAAAATGACAAAATTATCTTTGTTTGATCAAAATCGGTTCAGAGACGGCTGAAATATCCATAAATATAACGATTACTAATATTTGTGAACCACCACGAATATTCGATAATTTGAAAAAGCCGTTGAAAAAAAATGAAATAGCGCCTTTTACGTTGTATTTCAGCCAGGTAATGCCGATGTTGGATTTTTTTGTTGGCTTTATCGTGTGGTTGTATTACGCACAACCAGCCCGTCCAGCCGGCCCATGTATTGTCATTATTAATTAATAAATTAACGGTCACCGTATTTTTTTTTAAAGTGGAGCTGAATTGGTATGATCGTATTGTTTAAAATTTACCCATTTTGGGGTCTAAAATTACCTTCATAGCAATTTTAGGTCCCAAAAGGGCACTAGAAATGTCATATATAAGATTAAGAGCTAGCAATAAGCATGTACTTTGAAGGCATTTTCGGTCTGAGAACAGAACTCAACTATCCCTTTAACAGAGCACATCCGAATTTACCGAAATTATCTGTTATTAGAATTTCCCCATACTCTCACTGATCGATTTCTCTCATTGTGCTTAAGATTAAAACCGAACTTATTATGTTAAGTGGGACTACCACTTTACAGCAATTTTCATCAACACTAACTTAAGGATAATTTAATCAGATGAGAGATATAAAGGTATCTTGAAAACATGCAGCGGCTAATCCAGAGACACGATTAAGAGCCTTTCATTCATGAACGCTCAGTGAGGGCACATACATTTAACTATAAGAAGGTACCGAAAAAAGACGTGAAAATGGAAATTTACAGTCATGCATATAATTCATATATTAAATCACGGTTAGAAAAAAGAAGGAAAAAAAAGAAGAAAAAAACAACCAAAAAAAAAGGGCGTTTTTGTATTTTGTGTTATTGTACAATTCCTATCTCCGAAGTGGCCTATAATGAAATAGAGGGATTTGCTTCTTCTTCTTGATCCGCTGCAAAAAGATTAGCATACGTAACATCAAATAGTAGATCAGACTTTATCTAACTTTTGGACTGACATTTGATGTTTTAACCAGGCTGTTGCAGCAGAAAATAAATCATCGCAGAATAACATGATCCAAGTAATTAAGTTTTCATTCTACTACTTTTTTCATCCTTTTCATTCAATTTAAAAGTATAAAACAAACTGAATTTGTGAACTAGCAGTATAAACAACAATAGAATTGTCAAAACTAGAAAGATCACAAATTTCCCTCAAGTAAATTTTCAACATACATGCCAGTGGCGAATCCAGGGGGGCACAGGGGGCACGTGCCCCCGCATCCCCCCCCCCCCCCGCAAAAAAAATATGTTAAAATCAGCCCTAAATTCGCCCAAAATGTACTGAAAAACAGGGGCGTGCCCCCCCCCCCCCCCCCCCCCCCCCCCCGGCTAAAAAAAAAAAAATTTAAAAAAATATTATATATATGCCAATGGCTGACCTAAAAAGGTGACCTTAGTCTTTATAGATAAACAATGACAATGAAGTCCATATATTGTACATATTATGCTAATTATGCTACTTAAAGGTACTATGTCCCATTTGCAGGCCAAAAATGAAAAAGTTAAATTCCAACTGCATTTGAAAGATAATACTAATTTAGAACTTCCCTAAAAAAAGGTGGGGCTTGAAAATGTCTTCAAGTGGGAAAATAACGACTATTAGTTGTCAAATCGACTTTAGGGCTATAGAGCCCAAAAGTAATAGTCTTGATTTTCAGACAATATTGTACCGAATGGTCATACGTTTTATGCTGCGCAAAGATTCAATCAGTTTAATCTTGGCCATCACAAGAAGTGGTTATTGATGTAGACAAATACTCTTGTACCCTTTACAACTCTTTTAATGTATGTTATTACCAAAGAAGAAAAAAAGCCAGTCTGTCACTCAATAGTGTCTGACAGTGAAGTCTAGCAAGTAAACGGGTTTCCTTGCATAATTTGAATATGAGGACACTGCTAACGTTTAAATTTCACAGATAGGACATACATGATATTCATAATTCCTGCAAAGTTCTACAGCATTTGAGGTTGGCTGCAAAAGGGACATAGTACCTTTAAGACAAATGTATAAACTTAAAAATAAAAATTGGTGTCATAAATGAATTCCTTGTCATGATAGACAACCCTTGAAAAGCCGTATTATCCATGTTTTCAGGCTCCTGGATTGAGATTAGCAACATTATTACATATTGCACATATGCTAATTAGATGATTATGCTAATATGACTTTAAAAAAGTTGCTCAAGGTTGCCCAACTGGCAACCAAGCTGAATTTACTTCAATACCCATCTAGAACACAAATCAACAACAAAAACCTTGAACTTATCAACTTTTCCAGGTCTTAAAAACTTCTACAGGATTATATGGAAAAATCCATTCCGTCACCAATGATGAAGAAAATAAAAGTTTATGAAATTGTACGTACTGATCAAATTAGAGAGGAGCTCGCAAGACACGTCGCAGTGTTGCCAAGTTGTGTTGATCGATCGCAACTTCAAATGTGTATAACTTTCAAAATTTTATCGGAATTTGCTCAAACTTTCACTGACATGTTCCTCTCATGTTATCTTCTGTTTCGCTAAGAAACAAAATTAATATCAGGATGGACTTGCCCTCTAATCAGTAACTGATCCTAGATCATTCGTAGATCAACTTTTCTCAACCAAATATCGCCCGGTAATAATCGGCAACCACTGGGGATCAGTCGGCAATCAGTCTGAGAACTGTCACATACCCTTGGAAGGCCAAGAAAAACCTTCCACAATAATTTTGGTCGACAAAAGGGTTTCAATGAAGCAGCGTCAACTTCCAGCCGACCAAATTGCTGCGGAGACCCCTGGCAACCTTTTAAAGACTGACAAAAACCTCTCTGCGACCTCTGTCAACTAACTTCCGATTAGCGGTTGTCGGGTGTCGGCGACCGGTCGTTTCTCTTAAAGTGAACGGTAATATTGTTGAAGGTTTATTAAAAAACTGCGTATTTTTGGTATGATATGTTACCTTTTATATTCCTTCTACTGTACTAACCCTATATTATATGAAAAAAATCCTGAAAAAATTCTCAAACCACATAGATATTTATGGGGTTTGTTTTAAGGCGTCACTGTGCAAACCTCTAACAGTAATTCTCCCAACCAATTTATTTTGTAATTATCCCATGAAAAAAGGACATAAAACAGGCTTTTAAAAAAATCTTTCAACGCTTAAATGTTTGGAATGGTATATAGAGCCGACTCATTGCTTTGTGATGATTTACACTCACATAAAATTTAATTAAATAATAATAATGTAGTTGGGTTAATTAAGGAATCGATCATATCAGTTTTCCCAACTTTATCATTAAAGGTATAGATCAGTTTTGGAAACGCCCCCCCCCCCCCGCTCTCACAAAATAAAATGGAAGCTCTTACTCTTTTACCAATCATGTGAAAGAATATCTGTTGACTAATATGTGATGATACTAATTTTGACGGGAAACCGCCTACTAATTGATATATTTGGTAAATTGTCATATCGATCCGGCCTGGATAGATATCGCGAAGCCATTTCAACGTTGAACATTTGGGCATATATTTCTGCTTTTTTTGCGAAGTATTGCCATCTAAACCTCTGAAGGCAATATTTAAACAATATTGAATGGATATTTTGCACCCAAAACCCTTCAACCGCAATTTTACCACTACCGGTCTATATCTTTAATAATGGTCTGTTTTCACTCAAACGTTCAGATTATCTTTAATTGTATATCTAGCATTGAATTCACTACCTTAGCACCATTTCTCTCATCGAACAATGTTACCAAATCCCTTTAAGCTTTAATGGATCAACCAGTAGGCATAAACATAGGCCTAAATTAACTTGAAATAGGGAGAAACAAAAGACGTGATATGATATATCAAAGCCCCACTGTACTACTTATAGCTATTTGCGCCCTCTATATAGCAAACAATGCCTTATTGGTGACCGTTGGTCCCCCATGATCCCCTTTTTTATGTTAATTGAGAGTGATTTGATGAGATAACCACTGTCAGTGACCATGCAGGGAGGATAATCCCTTCCTTGCCAAACTAGTGCAGATGGGCTTTAATAGTCAGGATTATTCATTTGTTTGGAAGATGGATTGTGTTTACAATGATACTACATTTTGCAAAATTTTCACTTTTACGTGACCCAAATTCAGTGTACTGCACATTACATGATTACATAATCATTACCAATTTGGCATTATTTTAAATGAGAATAAGCAGGATTTTCAATTATTCCACTGTCCAGTATGACAAATGAGTACCACGAGGGATATCATAGCTCGAACTAAAATTGCAGATTATTTTTTGGAGCAGTTTATAAAAAATAAAAAAAAAGTGAAGTGGGGAATCTCAAAAGCCACCCACATTAAAGATGATTCCCTCGATGTAAAAGCAAATGTCAATTAAGCTGCATGATTATTCCATTTCTGACATTAGAAATTACATTAACATTCTTAGCTTCGAATGACGTGCATAGTATTTTCACTTACCTTTGCACATAACACCGGCTTCTCTGTTGCGGCTACACCTGGTATACCCCCAGGGGCCAGCCGGGCAGTCGGTCAGTTTCGCCTCAGTGCCTGTGCATTTCACGGAGGAGAGCACCCAAGGACCATTGCTATGACCGTACCTCTCTTCGAAGTACCTTACTGTGATTGCTCCGCGAGGGTAGCCCCACTGCCTGCAGACAACTGTGGCGTCTTCCATTCCGAAGCCGTAGTTGCACACGCTTCCCCAGCGGCCTTGTGAAAGACTTCAACACGGCCTGCCCGGGCCGCCCGGCCGACGATGAACAAATTCACGAGACGTATATCGTTCTCTGGTGATCGTATAACCAACAAAATACAACAGTATCAACACACAAATCTCATGAAATCCTTATAAATTTACACGAATTGAAAATACTTCAGGACTCATATTCATGAAACCTGATTCAGTCTAGTTGTCAACTAACTATATGTACATCACTGTCCTTCAGCCTTTGCCAGGGGCGGCCGAGCGACTTCCAAAGGGGGGGGGGGGGGGGGGGCACTAAGAAAAAAAAGGGAACTTTCTGGAAAAAGCACCTACAAAGGGAAATCTCAAAGCGAAAATATCAACTTTTTCGACATTGGTATATACCCCCTACATTATGATTACATTATCAGGGATGATTTGTTTCACTTCATACACCATACAAGATATTGCTTAAGCATCATGCTTTGCAGCTGGGTGTGATGGTCCGAAAAATTATTTGCGGGCGAGCGAAGCGAGCAAGGAAACATTTAAGATTTGTGAAATCGCAGTGCGAAAAATTACATCTTATAAAGAGGAAAAAACCCAATCCTGATAGGGTTATAAGCACATTCTCATAACGGAAGACTAAAAAGACCTTTTATAAGTAACATAAGTATATCATCTATAGATGCGTGCGAGCGAGCTTTGGGAGAAATTGCTCTTCGTCGTTTGTAATTGGGGCCCGTTTAATGTTGAGAGGAAAAGAAAAGGATCATGTGTCAAAGTACAAAGAGTAATTATGAGAGGTGAAAATGGGGCACTTCTTACACCCTCTAAAAGAGGCACTCATCAGGGATGAAAAAAGTCAGTCATATAATAGGAAATGGGCATTTGTCGACGGAAAAGGGGCCCCCATCGGATTTTGATAGGGGCATTTATGAAAAAGGGATAGGTCCCTCATTGTTAAAAGGGGAATTATCGGAGGTGAAAAGAGGAACTTATCGCACCTGAAAAGGGGCAATGACCACATATGAAAAGGGGCACTGATATTAAAGGAAAATGTGCACCGATCAGATTTCAAAGGGAATTTATCGGAGGATAAGGGGGCACTATCTGAAGTGAAAAGGAGTAACTTCTCGTACCTGAAAAGAGTCATTACCAGAAAAGGGAAGGGGCCTTTTTTCAATGGTGCACTTATCATTAGGAAAAAGGGGCTCTTATTAGAAAGGAAAAGATGCATTGGTTAAAAGAAAATGGGCACCGATCAGATTTGAAAGGGGTATCTATCGGAGGTAAGGGGGCACTTATTTGAAGTAAATAGGTAACTTCACGTACCTGAAATTTGTCATTTACCAAATAAGGGGTACTTATGAGAAGGGGAATGGGCTCTTTATTTTAACGTGGCACTTTCATAAGGAAAAGGGGCACATTAGAAAGGAAAAGGGGCACATGTGAAAATATAAGGTGCGCTTATCCGAGTTAAAATGGGGGTAGTTATTAAAAGGGGAAGGGGCACTTATAACACAAAAGAAAAGAGGCACTTGTCGTACCTGAAAAAGGGGCACTTATTAGAGAATAAAAAGGGCACTCATGAGAACTGAAAATGGACACTTATTGCAAAAAAAAGAGGAAAACTTGTCGAAGGAAAAGGGGAACTTATCAGAGTTGAAAAGGGGAAGAGGCACTTTTACAAATTAATAGGGGCACTTTTCAAAGTAAAAGGGGCACTATTCCTATGTAAAAAGGGGCACTTTTACAAAGTTAAAGGGGCACTTTCTGGTGCTTGAAAAAGTGGGGCACTGTGCCAATAACTGTATCAATATCATGAATATTTTTTTTTTTTATAAGGTGTTTTATTTTCTCAATACCAGAGGTAGTACATAAATCGAAAAACATGCAATTTTCATCTTGCTGACTATACATCACATTCAGAATAATATTTTTAAAAAAACAATTCAAGGTACAAAAAGAAATAAATAATACAGTACTATCTCTGAAAAGAGAAAAACTCCCCAGAGAGAGAGATAAAGATAAAAAAAAACAACCAACCCCCTACCTGACAAAAAACAAAAACAAAAATAAAACAAACAAACACAAACATAAAGCAAAGAAAGACTGCTGGGATAGAGGGCTGGAAAGTGCTTTTTCAAAAGTTAATTTGTATTACACAAAACCTTCCAAGATCTCCCATTTCTCAAAGTGAATTGAAAGAGTTTACCTTCCATTGCAAGTTTTTTTCCTCTTTCCTATTTTCGACAAATTTATCTTTTACTTCATGAATAAGGGTCCGGTAAAGAGTAAATCCAAAAAACAAGAGCGGAAAGACCATTGAAAAATAATCATCCGATAAGGCAATTTCGATAGTCATGTAGGGAGTCTTGAACAAGTGCGACTATTGCAATATATGACTTATTACATGATCCAAATATGATGTACGCAGGCGCGTACACAGGGGGGGGGGGGGGGG